GGGGGGAAAAAAGAAGGGAAGGTGAGGAGAGAGAGAAACAGAGAGAGAAACAGAGAGAGAAGAGGGAGCCAAGATGTAGCAGCACCCAGAGATTTCAAGCTTTGCCAACATGGCCGAGAGATCGGGGAGGTGTTTGGTGGGCACGGGGGAGATGGGCAGCGGAGCCAACCAGCTAGCCAATCCAAAAGGCCCCTGGCGGGTCGCCACCGAGGGGGGCGTATCGGGTGCAGGAGCCCCATGGCGATCCGTCGTGGGAGAGCATGAAGGGCGCTTGGCTTGGCCAGCCAGTGGGCTGGGTGGCTGTGGTGCAGCGAAAGGCGAGGAAAGAGAGGGATTCAGATGGGATTGTAGGGCCAAGACCCGTTGGCATCGGTGGGTAGAGATCCACGCTTCCGCGACCGCCAAGAGCAACGCGCCCCTGCTCAGACGGCGGGAGAACGGGCAAGACGCGACAGACGAGAATCTTGGCGCTGCAGCCAGAAACATCGGACAATGCCACCGAAGCCTTCCCGGCGCTTTTTTCCGTGTTCTCCCTCGCAGCCAGGGGGAGCTTAGTGGCAGCAAGCTATTGGCTGGGTGGAGAAACTGAAACAGCAACCCCTGTGTGCGGCCAAGAGATGGGCCCCCACCAGCCGCCAGATTTAGCATTTGTTCGCGTGCCTCTTTTTTTTTGTCTCTGGACGACGACGTCAGTTCGGTTCTGCCATGGGGGGCGGCAATGAGCCCGGAGATAGCCGGGCCTGGGACTGTCGTTTCAGACACCCTGGCGGGAGCGTTTAGTCCGATCAGGCATCAGATTGTGCCCTGACTCTGCTTCTCTGAGCGCCGTCAGGACCGGACGGCGGGAGCCCAACGGCGAAATCACCCGACTCCCCTCGAGTCCAACTGGGGCCTCTATCCCGACAAGGCTTTCTTAACGAGATCCCACCCTTGGCCTCCTGCGCGGGAAGAAATCGCCGCCCGGATCCCACATGGACCGCCTAGACTTGCCAATGCTGGGGAATCCCAGTCGAGCGGGATGCCACGCAAAACCACTGTTGCGGCGCCAGCGATCGACCCAAGTGTGGCCGAATAAGTATGAGCATCTACTTACCCATAAAGCAACATCCATAGGGTTGGTTCCAATCTTTTTTTTTTTTTCTTCATTTTCTATCACTCCGACGTCACCATGCTTGTCCGTCCAACTCTTTATTTGTTCCTCCCTCCCAATTCCGACCCATGTTGTCGAGCCTGCATCCCGAAGAATCCAAAGTGTCAGTGCCGACGCCCCCACACACACCACCGAAATTTCAGTGGTGCCGCCCGCCACGACTTTCCCACGGAGCCACATCCCGCAACGCCTTGCAGTCAAAATGGACTCCCCTGCGCTCGGTAGCCCATCCGCCTCCCGAAAGGCAGGCGGCTAGCGTTCGATTGGTGCCCTGTCACGGGTGGCATGCAAGGAGACCATTCTTGACAGTTGGGAAGGCACGGTGCCCGGGAAAAAAACCGGACTGCAAAATTTATTCCCACTACCACAAAAAAAGGGGCCCATTTAGTTTGCAGTCATTTTGCCCTCTGCATCTATGATTTAGCAAAGCAAATAACGTTATTGTGGCTATAAGTAGTGCTTTTTGTATCAAAACAATTACAAATCCCTTGAACGCGTATTCTTTTCGGTGTAAAATGGTGCGCGGGCATATTGTTCGGTTTTGGTGCTGGTGCAATTGTGTTGGGAGAGGTAGAGTTTGGGTGGGGAAAAACATTTGCAGTCCGGTTTTTTTTCCGGGCATCGTGGAAGGCAAACAAAAGAGATGGGGGCAACAGCACAAGGGGCGACTGGCCCACACGGTAGAGTGGGGGTAATATAACTGCAACCAGAGGACCAAGCGCAACAGACGAGGCCGGCGCCGATCGAGTACGCCTTCAGGCCAGTGAACAAAGACAGCCAAGACAGGTGACAAGACTGGCGAAGGATGGTTTGTTGAACGTGGATGGTGAATTAGACTATCTAAAGCAGCTGACCCGGGAAATCTGAGCTCGGGTTCGAACTGAGTGCCTCCACCGAGTGGGGCAAAGAAGAGAAAAAATTAAACAAAGAAAAATGCACATGATGCATGACGTCTAATATGCTCCGACCTATGTAAACCCCGCCGATATCCCGAACAAAACGCCTAAGCTGTGGGGAACTAGCCACACGGTAAACAGTGGGCGAAAGAAAATAGGGAAAAAGAGGGACAAGAAAAGAAGAAGTAAATTAAGAGCAATAACCCGATGCCACCCTGCCGCTCTTCCACTCGTCGCGCGTGGGGAAGCGCCCGAGCATCTTGAAGGGGCTCCTGGGCGGCTGGAACCTGAAGGGGCTCTTGGGCGGCTGGAACCTGAAGGGGCTCTTGGGCGGCTGCAGGCCGTGGAAGGCCGGGGCGGGCCTGGCCAGGGACTCGTCGTCGGTCTTGCCGAGCACCTTGTTGGCCTTGTCGCTAATGGGCGACTTGGCGCCGCCGCTGAGCTTGCAGTAGGTCGAGAACTGCATCTCGTCGAGCATGGTCAGCCCCGTGGAGCGCTTCGAGTAGCGCGAGCTGTTGTAGCGCGAGTGCAGGCGCGAGAAGAGCGTCTTGGGCGGCGGCTGCAGCACAAACGACGGCGGCGGCGCCAAGGGGGGCTCGCTGCGCTCGCCCGTGATGACGGACCGGCCCAGGGGCGAGGGGGACAGCGGCGACGTGGTGGTGGTGGTGGTGGCGGTGACGGTGGTAGTGGTGGTGGTGTTCAGGAAGGGCCAGGGCGAGGCCGGGCGGTCCGTGTTGCTGCTCTTGATGGGCGACGGGACCGCCATCTCCTGCGGGCCCGGGATGGCGGGCGACTGGGCACTCAGCTCGGCCATGGGCGTGTGCAGCGGCGCCATGGGCGCCATGAGGGTCGACAGGTGCTTGACCGGCTTGTCCGAGTACGGCGGCGGCGGCTCGGCGGCCTTGGGCTTGGCGGCCGGGCTGTTGCGCGCGCGCCGCCGGCGGACGGTGCAGATGACCAGGATGAAGCCGATGGTGATGGCGCAGGCTATTGCGAGCGTGTTAGTGTGGGTGTTTATATATATATATATATATAAAGGACAGGAAGAAGGACTGTGGGGAGAAATATGGAGTTACATACCGAGAGCACCAAACACGATCCCAATGGCGTTGCCGACGTTGTCACGCGCTGGGGAAGCCCTCCCGGGGATCGAGGTGTAGATGACGGGGGGAGGGGACGAGAGCGTCTGGACGGGAGGGTACGGCGAGTTGAAAACGGCCCCGGTTGCCGACGGCGCAGTAAGGAGGATCGTCGGGCTGCCGAGCGGCGCGGCCGAAGAGGTGGTGGTGGTGGTGGCGGAAGCGGAAGCGGAGCTGGACGACTCCGAGCTCACACGCGCCACGGTAGAGAGCGTCGTGGGCACAGGGGCCTCGCTGGCGGCCTCGGGCACGGGGGAGGGCGACGCCGTCATGACGGGCGCCGGCCTGCCCCTGGGGGGCTCGTTGCTCTGGGATTGCCTCTTCAGGATCCTGAGCGCCTCCATGCCCACCCGGGATCCGCGCTTTCCTAGTGCCACCATTTTGAATGTTGTGATGTGACGTGTCGTTTTTGTGTGGTAGAGTCAGGTTTGTCGGCCGAGGGACCGTTGGTATGCGTATCAGATGCGCGATGTGGTAATACAGCCAGAAAAAAAAGTTAAGCACTAGATAATAGACGGGTTCGCGATAATGGAAGGGGCGCGCGGCGCAACGTCGAAAGGACGAATAGGGAGTATGTGGTGGTATCAAACAGCAGCCTGCTGCACACGCCAACGTCGAAAGAAAGTTGCCAAGAGTAAAAATGGCAGGAGGGAAAGAGATGAGAAAGAAAAAGAAAACGCAGAGGGGTATCTTGATAAAGAAGGCTGAGTGGGAAAGAACGAGATGCAACCGTCACTAGGAAGAGCTGGCCGCGAGGCATGTATTTACACTTCAGTCTCTGCCTCGCCGGCCGCGTTGTGCTCGCCGAGACACACTCTAAACCCTAGTCTATCGTTAGGCACTGGGCTAGGCTAGGTCAAGGGTAGGCCTGCCCGCGCATCGACAGGAGGGGGAGCCGCGCGTGTGCACGAGTACTGCGTATACGAAGAGGAGGGGCGCGCGCGCGCGCGCCCCGACAGCCCTTCTTAGGTGAGAGAAGCCCCTGGCACCACCTGCCGTGGCACCCTAGGCCGTCAGTGCGCCCGTTTGTTCCTGGGCGATGGCTGATGATCGGCTGTCGCTCCAGGGGGGATGGTTCCTGGAAAGTTGCAAAACATTTGGTGGAGCAGGAAACAAACAACCCACCCGCGGATTTGCCTGTTTGGGCGTTTCCTGCTCGCCTCTTGTTTCTCTTGGCCGCGGGATGATCTCTGCATATTTGCCACGCGGGATGGGATTCTGAGGATATGCATTCACTACGAGCAAATCCACATACATGACCCATTTTTTTTTTTGCAACATTTGCGTTTATTACCAACAGCGGCCACAAGCCAATCCTCCTTTCTTTTCTTTCTTCTCTTCTGTTTGCTAAACCCCAAATCCACCAAGGCAGTGGTCTATTCCTTACGAGAGGCATGTCTACATGCGCGCCTGTCGCGTTCGTCGCTTCGCCCAAAAGAGCAATTTGCAATCGAACAACGCCATCATCCCCACTATTCCTGCTCACGGTGGAACGCCCGCCTTATTACGTCCCCAGTGCTGATGCTAGTGCGCAAAACTCTAACTCCCAACGCCATCGCAGGCCCGGCCCCTCGCACGCCTCGTTTCCTCGTCAACTACCACCCTACCGATTCATACTCCCCCCAAAGAGGTATGTGGGCGGAGACTTCAGGAACCGATGACGACTCTGCCCTCCCCTCTTGATCCCTGCCTGTCAAAAAAAAAAAAACCCTTGGGGTTCGCCTATGATCTGGGGTCGGCGCATTTTGTCTTTGGGTCTTGGTGTGATCCCCGTACGTTTCCTTTCCCCCAAATGTCGCTTGTCTAGGCGCGGCGCCAGCTGCACCCCCACCGGTTTTGCCACCACGCGATAAACATCATCTCCATGTATTCGTGATGGTTGTGGCCTGTGCCTGATTAGCCGTCATGCCGAGGGCGGCCCGTTTGAAGGTTATTTTCTTCAACGAGATGGGACGGTCTGGTCGTGGCACATTGGCTGAACCAGCCATCGTCCCATGAAGCAAGAACCAGTTTCGACATTTCATTACTGTCCTCGCAGACGCGCCCATGCCCACCACTCCCACGATGCCCTCATCGTCGTCCACCACCGTCACCTCCCGGTGGAGAGATGGCCGTCGCAGGAAGCGTGTAGCGTGGGAATTGGCTTATTAGGCAGGAGCCTCGACTGCTATTCTCGGCTGCTCTAGTAAATGCCAAGTCGAAACATGTTCCTCCTTCCCAGTCGGGCAGGCAGGTCGCGGTTGCGTGAGCCAAAGCCCCCTGCCCGCCCATCGCTGCGCCGATACGACGATGTCCTCCGCCTGAGCGCAACCGACGTCGACGTCTACCAGTTAGGTTGTCTGATATTTGCTGCCAAAAATGGGCGCATGGCTTCCCCGTGCACGCCAGGAATGCGACCGCAATCCCACCCCAACGGGTGCCCGCCCCCCCTCCTCCTCCCCCTCCTGCATGGCCCCCGAGATCCCCGGCCTGTCAAGGCCCTTACCCCTGCCCTTCAAAGTAAGTCCCGAGTCAAGCGATTTTGGCGTCAATTTCTAGCGCCAAAGTCCACCTTCCACCCACATTTAGACTTTTTTTCTTATTCCACTTTCTGTATGTTTTTTCCCCTTTGGGTCCCGCACGGGCGTCGACCTGCACCCCAGAGTCGCAACGGGCGCAACGTCAGCGCCGTACAGGTGTCCAGGATCACAAACACTGGTGCGGTGGAGCAAAATACTTTTTCTTCCTTAGAAAACCAAGCCAAACTAATGTACCACCAAGATCTACCGCACTAGTGTTTGCGATCCTGAACACGTAGACAGTGTCATGCAGCCATACGTTAGTCACCTGATATTCCTAGGCGAGCTGCCATACCGCGGGGCGCTGCGTTTCTTTTTGTCTCTTTTCCATGTGACGATGCAGGCGGGCGTGCATAAAATCACGACCGTTGAGGAGCTGTGTCTCGTGCGGCAAGTGGCAGATATCTACATCATGAGCAAGCATGCTTCGACGTGTTGGACACGCAGGTGCAGTGCGTTTAGGAGAACCGTCTTTCCGTACGGGCGGCCACCAGTTCGTAAGAGCGCCTGGATGGCCTCATGACCCCGGCCGCTCACGCCGCGCACCGCCCGCCAGCCCGTCCCCGTGGCCAACCCAGGCGCGTCGGCGAACAAGAAGAAGAAAAAAAACCCATGCAGTCGCCGCTCGAGCCTCCTGCTCATGACAAACTTTCGTTTCCTGCGTCGTGCCTACATCGCAGGTTCCTCCTTACCAAGTGGTCGGGTACCATCGACCCCACGCAGCATCGAGAGACTTTGCGTTACGGCAAGCGAGATGATGGGGAAGCCAGAATTCACAAAAGCAAGCATCCTCTCCTCGTCGGGGACTTTTTTTTTTATAGAACACTGTCGTCGAAGATCCTGAAACTTCCACCACGTCCGTGGGTCTGGCCCTCTGGAAGAGTGCCATGTTTCATGTTTCATGGCGTCGGGGTGGGCCTAGCGTCCAGGCCGGGCGCGAACTGTAAAGTGGAAGCTATCCTAACGGGGTACTCGCATTCGAGCCCATCCACCCTTCGTGGAGTGCCCTTGGAGCAAGCGCGGCGTGGTGGTTCGTCTAACAGCCCGGTTGCCCGCCTGAGCGTGGTGTGGGTGGGCTAGCTCGGGTTCCTCGAGCATTTTTCGTCCTAACTGCTATTTCTGTCGACGCTGGGCCGTGTCACATGACATCGTGCTGGGACAACCCCCGTTTATGTGTTCCTGATGGCCAAGTTTGTGCAGGGCCCCCCAGCCCGTGCATCCCCGTAGAGCACATGCCACTTGCCAGCAGTTTGGGTTCGGGCCACTGGATCATCGGGGGGGGAATGCTCATACAGGAGGCACAAAGCCGCTTGACGATAGCAGCCCGTTTTCTATTTTGTAGCTATTTAGTAGCTGTAGCGTCGGGCGACTTTCCCTTTCTGCAGTCTGTCCGTTTTCCCCACGAAAAAGGTTGGAGCTGCATGGTGGCGAAAGGCGGCCCGTCAACCTTATCTTGGTCGGGAGTCTAGCTTCGGAGCATCTGCCTCTTTGGGACAGCCGCTCATGCAAGCACGGCACAAAAGCTCAATTCTCGATCGAACACCATGCATCCGCACGCCACGGATGAATTGCTTCGGACTCGATTTATCTTGTCCGTACTTTCGAAATTTGGCGTTTATATCCGCAAAGGGGTAGCAATGCCCTGTTATCGCTCCGAAGTGTTGATATGTAGGGCGACGTGATTTATGATTAGTCCGTTATATTCCTACCTGCATAAGAAAATGCTAATAGAACTGGAGTTCGGCGCTCGCGTTATATCATTCCATGTCGCGATGCGCATTTTTTGACAATATGCATCACACGCGAGGACTTGGTCATTACATTTTTTTTGAACATTTTCTATCTCTCCCTAATACCGCAACGTCGCATCTTCGTCGACATCTGTACATACGCTGGTGATGGATTAGTATTGTCGCATGCGAATTTACATGTTATAAATTGCAGATATCCTGCGAGTTTGTCCTCAAAATCCTGTGTTCTGCGCCATATGGGCACTATTAAGTTAGTTCGTGTTTTCCTGCTTTGTGATTATATATTTGGGTGTAGTTGACACAGTTTAAACAATTAATGTTGCTTGCGGCTTTCTTTCTAATCAGCAACGAACAAAAAAAGAAGATGAGGAAAGCAATGTCAGCTATTTCTACTTATTGACCAAGCATAACCACCCACGCCTTACTGACTCCTCTTGGCCGCCCCTTCGATATCAGTGTGAATATGCATCGTCTTCTCTGCCCAGCCTGCGAGGTCCCTGTTTTTGTGAAGTCGCACCAGCCTCACTGTGGCTGCGTTTCGTGCCTTGGTCGCCACAGGGTCCAACCACACAGCGGCTCGGTCAGCCCTGTAATACGTCCAGGTTTTGTGTGAGAACCCCACTTGCTGGCCGGTTAGTCACAACCTCTGCAGCATGCGGGAGGCCGACCAGCTCCCGTCCCCACATGGCCCTTTGTAACCAGGCAGGCTCCTTCCTTCGGGCACCCGCCATATTTATCCGCATTTCTTTCTACTTTCTCCGTTGCCTCTGGTCCTGATCACCATCTCTCGCAAATGACAACCGCATCGCGCAAACTCCAGTCAACTTCCGCTGCCGTTTGCGCAAAGCTCAGAACTCCACCTTCCGTCCCGCCGTTGCCCCCACAGCGGCTTAAACTGGACCCCAACCCACCTCAACCGACACTAGCTCTCATTCCCGCTCTGCGACCCATCCTCCCACGGTTGGAGATCCGACCCACAAACAGCTGCAGGCACCTCGACAACCACCCGCCGTCGTCAAAAATGGACGTATTCAAGACCATCGCCGCCTGCTTCGGCGGCGCCGACCCCAAGGACGATTCCCGTCCCAAGCTCAGCGAGAAGGCCCAGGCCCAGGCGCCTGACGACATTCGCTCCGCCGACGAGGTCTCGGACGAGGTGGTAGAGCTGCTCCGCACCGCCGAGAAGAACGGCCCGTCGCTCCAGAGCCGCGTGCGCGGCGCCGTCGGCGCGCGGGGCTGGACCGAGAATGTCGCCCGCGCCGTCGTCTCGCGCCTCGAGACCGTCATCAAGGAGGGCCGCGACAAGGTGGGCCAGGCCCTGGCCGAGGTCATCGACAGGGCCGAGGAGGCCGCCAAGGCCGCCTTCGAGTTCTCCAAGGAGAACCCCTACCTCATCGCCGGCTTCGCCACCATCGTCGCCATCGGCGTGCTGGTGCTCGTGGCGCCCTGGGCGGTGGAGGCGCTCGGTTTCGCCCGGCTGGGACCCGTTGCCAGTGAGTTGCTTTCTTCTTCCCCCCCCACGTGTTATGCTGCACGGATGAGTTTGGGGCTGACAGATCTGGAGACTCGTTCGCGTCCTGGTGGCAGTCCACCTATGCCGGCTTCGTACCCAAGGGCTCCTTGTTCAGCTTCTTCCAGCGGCTGGGCATGGTCTGGGCGCGTTGACTAGCGATGCGAGGCTTGAACATGATAAGACCAAAGCTGTAGCTTTGCATCTTTGTACCAGGCCTCGACATCGTTTGTGATGGCGGTCGGCCTTTCGCAGATAAAGAAGATGGCAGTACGGATGCCCTGCGTGTTGCCCGAGGACGGGCTAGCGCTCGTCGGTGGCGAATATGGAGCCAGGAGTCAGGAAAGACATTGGCCACTATGGGGCAGGAATCAATCGTCTCGCATTTCGTTGCAACGTGGGAGCTGCCGTCTGACCAAGCCCGGCCGGAAGAGGAAACGGTTGTTACGTGATTTCCGAGGTTCGTTGATTTTCGTTCATGCTCCAAGGAAGTAGCGGCACTCCTAATCGCCTAGCGGATTCCCCAATAAAGGAAATGAGTCGCCAAATGGGAAAAAGAAACGTGAAATCAAAACCAAAACTCCTAAGCCTCTCCCCTACCGACTCCCAGAGTTCACCGTGATGTCAGTCGTCTTGACGATGCGCCCCAGGTTTTCCTGCTCGCCCTGCGCGAACCCGCCCGGGGGACCCGACGACGCGGTCGCGTAGGTGCCGGCGGTCGGGCCGCCGCGCTCGAGGTCCATGTCGCGGAGGGCCAGCTCTTCGTTGCCGATGCTACCGGGCCGGCCGGCGAGCGGCCTGCCCGGGCTGGACTTGTGCGTGCCGTCGCGCCGCGCCGAGCTCGCGTAGCTGTTGCTACTGCCGCTGCCGCCGCCGCCGCTGCTGAAGCCCCGGCCCGGGCGCAGGCGCGACAGCAGCGGGCGCAGGGTGGGCAGGTTGGACGCCATGATGGACAGGCCGAGCTCGACGCAGGACCAGATAGCCGCGTCGATGTTGTCCCACGACGGGTCCGGGCTGACGACGGATCGGTAGAGCGTCGAGATCCGGTAGACGGAGATGATGCAGACGCTTTTTCGGGGCGCGTGTCAGCAAGGAGAGTTGCGTGGGGTATTGTGGCGGTCGGTTTGGAGGTTGCACTTACAAGAAACCCAGCCCGAAAATCCCCAATACCATAAGCCTCTGCTTTAGCGGCAGCTGGAGGTGCCAGACGGAATGCAATGGGATGCAGAAGATAAGCATGTCGGTTGCCGTGCTCATAGCGGAGGAAAAGTACCAAATAGGAAGGGTGGCGAGGCATTTGTCGGCCATGGTGGGAACGATAACGGCAAAGGGGAGGCATGAAAGGAGGAGGAAAGTGCTCTGAATGGCAGACCAGACGCAAACGTAAAGGATAAACCAGAAGCAAACGGTCCGCAGGGCTGTGCTGTGGAAGATGCGCCTGTATTGGAACAGGAACCCCAGCTTCGTGACGTTCATCCCTGCGTTGTAGCTGAGGATGCCAAGCAGGAGGAACTGCACTTTGTGTTAGTCCAGGAGGGCCAGGCCGACGTAGTGGGAAGCAGGGAACGAGATATGAAGAAACAGCACCTTTAACTGCTCCAGCGTCTCGTCTGGGGTAATGTTCTCGGCATGTCTCCCCATGCCGTACTTGACCTCGAAAAGCATCGCTACCGAGTAAACGATGGCCAGCGCCTTTTTTTTTTTTTTTTTTTGGCGAATCACCACGTCTCCGTCAGTCTCAAATCCGTCGCGAGGAGACTTGCCCGGCTGGCCCGGCTCGTCGGCTTACAGTGGCGGCCAGGATGGCCCAGTCGTCCTTGCCGACGGCCTTGAGGATGGTGGCGCGGGTGAAGAGGCGGAGCGACGTGAAGGTCACGTTGACCACGAGGAAGCCGACGGCGACGCCGGCCACCACCGGCCCCGTGGTCTCGGTGCTGACGACGCGGGGTGCGACAGCCTGTGCCGCCATGGCGGACGCGGTCGGAGCGGTCGTGGTTCTTGGAGGCACCCCGCACGCGCGCGTGTCTGGGAGGAGGTCCGGCCGCCGGGTAGTGCTTGTCGCGGGGAGATAGGCGGAGGCTAAAAAAGGAAAGAGAGTGCTCTTCAGAAGCAAAAACTAAGGCGGGAGGCCCGAGGTACGCTACCTATATGTCCAGTCGCGCGCTGACAGGTTGGGCGAACCCCGCTCGTCAACTCAGGGTAGCGCTATAACGGTGGAGATGAAAAAAAGTACCAAGCTCCTTTCCCCTGCGCCGCTAAACGTGTTCCAACGGCCCCAGACGTCTCTGGCGTCCTGGCCAAGGGGGCATGCTTTGCATCGAAGAGATGCGGTGGGCAGTCAAGCCGCGCAGGGAGTGGTGGACCCTCGGCTCATGGGGAAGCTATGTGCAAGAATGCAGCAGTGAGATTCAAAACTCCTATCTTTGAGAGGAGGGGTTTGTCAACATCTTCTCTATCCTCTCCCCCTCGGTCCGAACATCCACCCGATCTACAACTTTCTTTTTACCTAATCAAATCAAAAAAAAAAAAAAAAAAAAAAAAAAAAAAAGAACTTTGGCCGACAATAAGCTTTGGTACCCCCGATACAAAGCCGCAGCCGAAGCGCCGCTGCTACGTCTACCACCTGGGATCATGCCGGGGCGCTTGCTTACCCTGCCGCGAAGGATCCGGCTTGCGATGGGTCTCACAACCCATTAGTCTCATGTGGTGGCAGACTTTGGGACTTTGCCTTGAAACGGCATTCCCCGCTGCTAGTTCCAGAACAGGATCGCGAGGTGGACTAATGCAGCAGCGCGGCGCTAGAGGGCAGGCTAGCGTAACGGCTGGAATACACAGGTGACAGGAGGCGGGAGACTAGAGCTCGCCGTTGCGGCTGAAGTGGTCTATCATGTCCGACCTGGTACGGTGGTGTCACCGAGGCACGCACAGTGTATCCCGCACCGGCTCGTCGGGCTTTGAAACGTGGCAAACGGGCTAGCCCACGGGGAATTGCTGACCGTCCGTGATCTGCTTCGGATACTGTTTTGTTCGGGGGTGTGGTTTCCCCGCCTACGCCTACCGCCCAGCCGGGAGTGCGTCCGACTGCCGCATGGGGTGGAGATCGCCCTCGAGCGTTATAGGCTTTCAAGCTTCCTCTGTATTTTTTTCGAACGCCTTCTGTTTAGATTGGATCGGTCTCTGTCGTCCTTCTAGAGGTGGCTGGTGGCTATTGGCGGTAATTTCCTCAAAGCATACCACAACCACACCACCAACTTTACAGGTTCCAGGGATCAGAATTGTTAGTGCGGTGGATCAACCAGGGGGGGTGACAGGGGAAGTAAGGGTACACAGGGTGCCACACAATTTGTAGTAGAGATCAATGTATGTTGATATCTTATCTGTGGGTGACGATTCTAGTGGGTTCTGGCAAATGGGGGTACGTAGCCTAATTAGGAAGGATCCACCGCACTAACAATTCTGATCCCTGGAACCTGTACGATTTAATTGCACGGGGCTGTACAGGGCTAGTGTAAAGCATACCGTTGCCAAATGTAGTGTGTATTAGATGGTACAGGTCCCAGGGATCACAAACCTTAGTACAGTGGATCCTGGTGGTACATCATTTTCTAAAATCCCTTGCCGTGGCTTCCAGGAAATTCACCCCCATCTCCACATCTCAGCCCTTCCCTATTGCATCTAGCGTTCTCGTCCTCCCACAACGCAATGCATTTAGCACGAGGCAGAGCTGGGGACGCCCTTGCACGAGGTGAATGGCGTGCCGCCGCTGATGTTCACGCCGGTCCAGGTCCAGTTGGAGCAGCCGCCGTCGGCGCAAATGATGTAGACGGGCACGGACTTGGAGCTCTTCATGGTCCCGGTGACGTTGCTGATGACGAGACCGGTGATGGGCACGCCGGCGGTGGGGTGGCCGGTCGGGCGGCCGTCCTTGTAGTCCTGCTCGACCACGATGCCGTAGTTGGAGATGCCGCTCAGGGTGATGTTTGCGTACGTGACGCCCGAGACGGATCCGGTCGCGTTCACCACCGTCTTGACACGCACGCCGTTGGCCGAGTCGGCTACGATGCTGTTGCTGATTACCACGTTCGCGACCGCGTTGTCGGACCGCCCCCCGACGGAGCCGATGGAGAGGCCGTGGCCGCCGCGGCACGTGCCGCCCGTGAAGACGATGTTGTGCCCGCTGTTGACGGCCAGGCAGTCATCCTGGTTCCAGACGCTGGCGCCGCTGATGGTGACACCATTCGAGGAGCCGACGTCGAAGCCGTCCGTGTTGTGGCCTCCGCCGGGCCCGTCGCCGGCCCTGTTGTCGATGGTGATGTCGTACAGCCCCAGGTTGGTGACGCCGTTGATGCTGAAGGCCTGGATCGGCGTGTTCTTGACGTTGAGGCCCCTGATGTTGGAGTTGACGAGGTTGTGCGCCGAGAAGAACTTGGGCTTGCCGGGGTTCTTGGCCCCCACACCGTCCCACCACGCCGAGCCGTTGCAGTCGATGACGTGGCCGGCGGCGCCGTCGATGAGGAGCTTGTTCCCCGTGAAGGCGACGAGCGGGCCGGCCCAGAGCTTGTGCCCAAAGGTGGTGGTGCCGGCGAAGGTGACGTGCGTGCCGTCCTTGAGGCCCGTCATGTCCAGCGTCTGGCCGGCGGGGACGGTGATGTCCTTCAGGGTGATGGCGGTACACGACGTCTTGCCCTTGATGGCGGCGGCTGCGTCGGTGAAGACGCAGGCGGTGTCGCGCGTGCGGCTCGCGCGGGGAGCGGCCTCGGCCAGAGGAGCCGAAGCGACGAGGAAGGCGAGAAGAGTCTGGGAAAGCATCTTGGTAGTGGGATACAGGTGCCTGAGGTAGGACATGGAAGGAAAGGGGGTTCGCAGACTTGGTGGCCTGCTGGCAGTCATATTTATACCATCAGAGCTGGCCGAGGCGATGCCATGAAGCGATCAGGTATAGTGAGCGGGACGCCTGGTCACTGGTGGAATAATCTACCGGCTTGCTGTCAGGCCCCAACGCAACTGACTCTATACATGCCTCACCACCGCGGCGTATTCCGCCAGACTTGGACCGACGAAGCCCCGGCCCGGCAGATACGCTGCGGGCTTCCCGAAGCCAAGTAGCAAATATCGAGGGCGGCCACGCAACAATCAGTCCACTTCTAGGTGGGGTTTACACGGTAGGGGATCTGGCGCCCGTCGGCGGGTTGGAATTGCGGTGTTCAACGGCGTGGCGGGCTCTTGTGACTCTGGCCGAGCCATCTTGTTCTGCCCGTCAGGACCCGCGCCTCACTTTTACCGGCCGGCAAGGCTGATGCTTGGCGTTTCTGGGCGCACTCGCGATGGTTGGACGAGTTTGTTCTGCCTCGTCGAATGCCGCGGAGACGAGGGCCCTGGCAAGGGTATCGTTGCTTCGGTCTCGGCAATTATCAAGTCCTCGAATCAGTAAGCCAAGCCACTCCACTTTGCTCCGCCGGCGTTCAATATCTGCATTTGCCAGACACGCGTTGCTACCATTAAGGGATAAAAAACGGCATCTCTCTAGGACATATGCCGAACACGACCATCTTTGTGGAGCTGACCCTTGCGCGGGAAGACGGCATCTCCCGGTGCATCTTGTTTGATAGGAGCTTAACTAGTTATGGTTTATTTTTTTTCTCTGATTTGGCCAATATCACGTCGTGTATGCAGAGGCTTGGCTTCACCTCTCCGCTTAGTGTCGAACTTAATGTGTATTACACTTCGAGACCGTTGTGTATGACACTTCGAGACCGGTGATGACCGTCAATGTGTTGAGACCCTGGATCCTGGGTCCTGGAAAGCGCAACTCCACCACAAATTTGGCTGACCGCGTCATCGCCCCACAAAAGCTCGTCCTCAGCTCGACAGCCAGATCGTCCTCACGTTCCGTGTCGCGTAGGGCGGGGAATGGAGGGAGATGGGGAGGAAAAGGGCTATGCGATGATTTCGGAAACCAACTCCCCAGACATTGTATGCCTAAATAACAATCAAGGAAAAACAAGAGCATCACCTGGTCTATACACCAATTCCTCAACACACCCCATCAGCTCATCCAGCAGCTCGACCGCCTCGTCCCGCCACGCCTCAAACGTCACAATCTCCATCGTCAACCTCGTCCCGCCCTCGGCCACCAACGCCTGCACCTTCCACTCGCGCAGCGGCTCCTGGTGCGGGTAGATGGTCTCGGTCCTGGCGCCCAGCCCTTGCCCCTGCGCCTCCAGGCCCGCCGCCGCCCCGAACCCGAGGTCCTCGACGTGCTCCACATCCTGGTGCACCACCGTGTCGAACCAGTCCGCCTCCCAGCCCAGTCCCGCTACCACCGCCGCCACCATCTCGGGCAGCGCCATGCCCTCGTGCGCCGACCCGGCCGCGTGCTGCGCCTGCACGAGCTCGAGCAGCGCCGCGCCCGTCGGGGTGTCGTCGGGCGAGAGCCGGACGCGGAAGGGCACGTACTGCCAGCACGGCCCCGCCACGCGGCCGGCTCCCTCGAGCCCGCCGCCGCGGCCCGAGACCACCTCGCCGAAGAGCACGTCGCGCCGGCCCGTGCGCCGCGCGAGGCAGAGCGCCCACGCCGCCGTCGGGAACGTCGCGGCCGTGACGCCGGGTGACGCGGCCGTGGAGAAGTCGGCCGTGCGCTGGACGGCAAAATGGGCGCGTTCCCCGGCGGGGACGTCGGCCCGCCCCGGCCGCAGCACCGTCGGGGGCGGGGAGCCGGCGAGGAGGTCGGCCCAGTAGCCGGCGCTGGCTGGGTTGGCCACACGCAGGGTATGATGCACAAAGACGGAGAATGGCACCAGCTGGTCCGCCGCCGCGTCCGAGCCGCCGCCCTTGTACAGCGTCGCGAGCTGGCGGAGGAGTAGGGGGAGGCAGATCTCGTCGTACTGCGCGTGCGAGATGCGCATCACAAGAGCCCCGCGCGAGCCGGCCTCGGATCCGGCCTCGACGAGGAAGAACTTTACGAAAGCGGAGCCCTCGGGGATGCTCCCTCCGATGTCGTTGTTGAAGAGCTGGTGCACAAAGGCCTGCATGTCCGAACCGCCTTGGGGAAGAACATACTCTTCGACATCGGCGACAAGGTTCTCCAGTACCACGCCGTAGCAAACCCCCTTCTCGTCGTCGACAAAGACCGTGCGCAGGATCTCATTGCGACTGACCAGCTCCTGGCAGCTCTGGACCAAGCGGGCCTTATCTAGCCCTGTGTTGTCGTCAAAGTACAGAGCCTCGTACCGGATGGAGAAGCGCGGATTGTCGGTGCTCCCCTTGACTGCAATCGCTTGTAGCGGGCGTGTCGGAAGCACATCGTCGATCTTCCAGTGCTTGTTTGCCAGGCGAGGCTGGATTTGCTGCTCGAGGAATTCGCTGACGCTGGTCACATCTAGGAGAGAGAAGGGGATAGGGGCCGTGTTCGCTGCTGCTGCTGCGTCCTTCGTTGGGCCCTGGTCCGATGTTATGCATGTCGGCAGTTCTTCGGCCATCTCGGCCATGGCCGCGAGGGTCTTGGTCTTGAATATCTGAGCCACAGTGAGCTTGAGACCTGCCGGGCGGGCTTCCGACACCAGCTTCATGGCTGCGATAGAGTCGCCGCCGAGGCGGAAGAAGTTGTCCTCTCGGTCGATGCTCGCCGCATCAATGTGCAGGATATCGGCCCACAGTTCACGGACATTAGACTCCTTGGACGAAAGGGTCGCTGACGTGATGCTGCTGGATTGTTCCTCCTTTGTCTCGTTGCTGTCTGGCTTCCCCTTGGAGGATGAAGCTCTGTCCTCTTTACGAGCGAGAACTACCAGCTTTCCCTCGCCATCGTATCGAGCAAGTTGTCCGGTAACGTGGAGGTAAACGGCCCTCTCTGGCTGCTCAGAGGTGATCTTGGTGTACCAGGCCGGAATTTCGACTGATGGCAGATTCAGCTGAGTAGTACTGTCGACAAGGATCTCGCCCACCGCGCCTCTGGGAACGAGGCGCTGGCTGTCCTGCGGGTCGACCAGCCAAATGTGCTCCGGCTTGTCGAAGCCCAAGCCGTCTGCGCCGTTCTTGCTCAGGGATGCCAGCTCGTCAAACTCATCGTTGACATCGTCGAAGCCGACAGATGTCAAGATCCCAGCAATCTTGGTCCCATTCTCAAGCCCTCGGTACAGCTCCGCAATGCAGCGATCCATCCGTTGCAACACGCGCTCCATCGTCCCCGAGTCCACCGTCCTCGAGTCAAAGCTGGCCATGACGAGGAACCCATCAGCGGCGATCGAGCAGACCAGCATGAGGGCAAACGTGTTGAACGTGAGCGCCTCGCGCGCCGCCCCGGCGTCATCCGCCGGCATCAGCCCTTCGGCGGGGCACAGCGATGGGGACCCCGCCTCCCCGGTGGGAGGGTGCAGCACCAGGCCCGTCCGCAGCTCGCACGCCTCGAGCGCATCCGGGCTGACCCTGCGGATGTGCTGCAGGCCCGTGTGCTCGTGCTCCATCTGTCGCACCCCTTCGTCCTGGATCGCGGCGAGGTACTCGGCCGCGGTGGCGTGCCTGTCGACGCGGACCCGGACGGGAACCGTGGTTATCATCGGCCCCTCGATCAGGTCGGCGCCCGCGACCGGCGCGTTGCGTCCCGTCAGCGTCTCCCCAAAGACGACGTCGTCGGCGCCCCCGATGTACTGCGAGGCCACGAGGGCCCAGGCGCCGCGGAAGATGGTGGCCATGGTGATTGCTGCGGTCGGGGATGACGTGGATGAGTGGGAGTTGTCACGCGCCGCCACTGGGATATGACGCTCTATGAGCGAGTCCGCCTGCGTCGTGTAGCCCTCATAAGGCAGGGGCGGGAACTGCAGGCCCGTTGCGCCGTCCAACCGCCGGCGCCAGTACGCCTCGCACGCCTCCTTATCGACGGTTTCAAGAAACTTGATGAAGTGTTTGAACTCGGCCGGCCTCTCCGTCTGCAAGCCATCCCATGAGCGATTGACCCTGTCAACCACAAGGGGCATAGACCAGCCGTCGTAGAGCGCATGATGTATGGTGAGGATGAAAGCAACCGTGCTGTCGTCGTGGTGCACCAGCCCGTAGCGAACGAGCGGCTTGCCGAGGTCCATGTGCTCGCCGTGATCTGACTCTAGGTACTCCTCCACCGTCTTGCCGGAGCGCCACCGGATCGAGGATTCCCTGATGACGACCTGCAGTAGACCCCGGCCAGGCAACTGCACGATGCGGGTGCGCATGATGGCGCAATCTCGACACGCCCACTCGAATGCGTCTGCAAGGCGCTTGGCCTCGGCAGCATCGGCAAGCTGCAACACGCGCTGGGCAACGTACGAGTCCTGGAACTTAGCCGAAAGCGCCATGAGGCCCTCTTGCAGTGGGGTGCACGGGTACATGTCCTCGATCATTGACTCGTCGACGTCTTCGCAGAGAGCGGCGGCATCCTTGCGTGCAGACTCAAGGTCCCAGTCTGATGGGAGTATGGAGAATGGGGCCACTTCGACAGCCCTGGACATGGCACAGTCCTTGTCGGCGACTGCAACGGCCGCCATGGCTTTGAGGGTATGATGGATGAAGACTTCTGCAACCGTGAGGACGATACCCTCCGCCCTCGCAGCAGACACCAACTTCATCGCCCGGAGAGAGTCTCCCCCAACTCCGAAGAAGCTATCCTCGAGGCCGATCTCTAGATCTGTGTTGAGCGTCTTTCTCCATAACCCCTGAAGCGCCTTTTCCATGTCTGTTGTGGGCTTTGTGGAGACGGCATTCACAAGCCGCAGCTTGGCAATATCTTCGCGGGACATGGCGTTCCCAAGCGCCCGCAGTTTCTTGCGGTCAGTCTTTGCCGACGGCAGCGCTGGCATTTCCTTGAGTGGTATGTACGCCGTTGGAACCATGTAGCGGGGAAGCTCCTCGCCGAGTAGGTTGTCCATATCCGCCAGGATCGCAGCCAGGTCCGAGGAAAACCTGGCTGTTGCATCTTGTGGTCTCTTCTTGGATATTCCCTCAAGCTTGGGAGAGGCCGCCAGTGGTTCGCTGACAAAAGCGACCAGTGTTGGGTCTGCTCCGCCCGGCTTGATGACTTCGGCAGCAATCTTGACGCCGTGGGGGAGCTTGCCCCTGAGGTGGTGCTCGATCTCGGACAGCTCCACCCGTTGGCCGCGAAGCTTGACCTGCTGGTCCTTCCGACCGACGAACACGATGAAGCCGTTGGGATCGTATTTGACAAGATCCCCCGTTTTGTATAGCAGCCCTTTGCGGCCTGGCGCCTTGCCTGCGTAGCCCTCGACAAGCCAGGTGGGGTCGCTGATGAAGACTTCGGCAGTCTTGTCTGGCTGTCCGAGATAGCCTAGCCCGACGACTGGGCCCTCGACGAGCAGCTCGCCGACGGACCCCACTGGCATTAGCCTGTCGTGGTCCTCTGGGTCCACGATCCATGTCGCGGCACCCTTGCCTTTGCCGATCGTGGTGTTTGCTGCACACACCTCGTCGTTGATGGTGCAACCGACGGTGCACTCGCTGGGCCCATACGCAATGATGACCTTGGTCAGCCTACTCCAGGCCGCAGCGTCACCAGCACTGACTGCCTCGCCGCCCAGACCGAGAACATCGAGGGCGCGCATGACGCGCTCCGAGTCCGACAGCACCCGGGCGACGCTGGGCGTCATGTGGGCCATGTTTGCCCCGCTGGCCAGTATGGCGGCGCCGAGGTCATCGACGCGCCCGGCCTCGCTGGGGACGCAGACGGTGCCGCCGACCATGAGCGTGCACAGCATGCAGTCGATGCTGACGTCAAAGGCGTAGCTCGCAAACTCGAAGACGCGGCTGGAGCTCCTGTAACCGACGGCTTTGGCGCGCGGGAACGCCCCCGAAACGAAATTGGCGTGGCTGCACACGACGCCCTTGGGTATGCCCGTGCTGCCCGACGTAAATATCACGTACATGGGGCTCGAAGGTGGCACTACAGGTAGGAACATGGCCGAGGCGCCGAAGCCCCAGCCGGCGTGCTCAAGCAACGTGGCGTCTGAGGCGACAAGGACCTTGGCCGGCTTGCCGCCATTATCCTTGTTGGCATCATGAGATATGCGCGTCGCAAGGCCGACTTGCAGCTCGGACGACACGACGGCGCGGGCGCGGGTCTGCGCCACGATACTCCGCAGACGGGCTTCCGGCTGCGACGGGTCGGTGAGGGCAAAGGCGGCGCCAGCTTTGAGAACGCCAAGTAAAGCAGGTGTAGTCCAGCGCGACTTCTCAAACACCAGGACGACAATATCGCCGACATGAACTCCGGCGGACGAGCGCAGCTGGCGGGCTAGGATGGTGCTGAGCGCATCGACCTCGCGGTAGGTGAAGGTGCCATCCCAGGCCTCTACAGCGACCTTGTCGGGGGCCACGACGCACTGGTCCGAGACGAGGTCGTGGATGCAGCGGTTGATTGTGGGCGGGACAGCTGCGTTCCAATTCCAGATCTGGCTTAGATCCTCTGTTGAAGGACCTATCAAGTCCCACACAGTCTTGGGCGAGGACTGCTGGGCTTTGGAGCAGGCCGCCGATACTCTTGTCTGTTCGAGAATGGCCGCCAGATACGTCCTGAAGAGATGCAAGCCATTTTCTGCGCGCGTCTCGGTCATGTAGCTTGACTGCCACTGCATAACTATGCGCAGCTCATCCCCGACTGCGGCCAGCTGTAGACATACCCTCCACTATAGTCAAGGTAGCGGTGAGAAGCGCTGGTCAGCCAAAAGCTTTGTGGCAAGGTGGTGGGCGTAGGGTGGTCATCGTGCAGTAGGTGTGGGCGAAGGGGGCCTCACAGGGAGGGTACTAACAATTGACTGCACCTTAGTGCCATTCCCACTGCAATGCTGTTCCACGTTCTCTGCCGCAGGCGCATCTGAGAAGCATAGGGTGGTATCTATCCCGACTTGAGTTCCCAGTTGACCATGTGACTGCTGCAGGGACTGTTCCAGTCCTCTACGTATCTCATCACACGTCTCGGTAACACGACGATCGACAGCTAGCGGTGGCTTGGGGATGGTAACCTGGAATGTTGCGGTCGATGGGGCAGAGGGCGGGAAGTCTGCAGGTTGGGTGGGCCATCGGCCTATTGCGATGGCATCAACGGCATCTTCCTCGCCCGATCTGGCGATAAGAAGTCGCCATGCGAGAAGTGCCGCACTGAGGGGTATATGGGAGGGGCCGCTATCCAATGGGAGACTATCCCCTTCTCGCATATCGAAAGATACTGACTTGAAAGAGATGGGGGTAGGAATGTCTGGTCGATCTGTAGCATAGGACGTGCGGTCCCGTCCTTCAGGGGTCTGCAGCCCATTGGATGGCGTCCCCAATCTTGCCGAGGACAGCTGCATGGCGTCTGTGGATGCAGATGCAAGATACTCCGGTATTCTGATAGATAGTTGTGAGAAGTGTATTGTAGATGTGGTTCACCCTTCGGTTGACCTGCCGTACCGGCTGTACCGAGATCGTTTGAGGTGCGAAGATCCTGCCTTCGGGTGATGTAATGTGCGGAAAATCTCAGCGGAGCTGGTGATGATGAAAGAATGTACTGATGGGCTCTGATAGAAACAAGAGACGGGCGGGAAAGGGATGGCGTGGGATGGATGGATCTTCTGGGCCCAAACTTGGGTCAAGATATACACCGGGATACAACGCAATTTAGGGGCGCCAAGGAAGGGGTAAATAGAATCTCAGAATGGAGTGTGGATAAACGGTGCTCGCCCGGTCAAACAAAGGGTGGGGGGACTTTGCCCTCTTCGCACGGAAAATCGTCGCCTTGCTCGGGAGGTCACGTCTCAACACCATCCTTAACCTACGACCGGTGCGTCAGAGGTGGGGTGAAGAACCAATCGTGATCCCCATAGGGCCTCTCGAACTAGGAAGTTACTGGTAAGGACCAGCCAACGGCCAAGCAACATCGTGAGAGGCAGTTGTCAAAGGGGCGAGCCAGGCCCCGACGCCGGTGTCATCGCTGGCACCACCCCTTACCAAGTTTGGCAGTCCGGTCCTCGCTAACGGTCACCGAGGATGGAATCAGGCCCGCAGACAGGGTTACGTTGATCGGAAGTGCGGTGCTGCACAGTCGGACATAGAGCCGGGGACAGTTAGTGCCTTGCACGGAGGATGCGGCATTTAGCAGGAGGAGGGGTGAGGTTGCGTCAGGTTGCATGGCGATGATCCAAATGCAGGTAGTGGGTAGTGGTAGGGCCCGAGGGGCTCAAATACCCGTGACTGCAGGGTACTCGAGATGACGGCGCCTCGACTTGGACACTCGCCCAGCTTGGAGAACACGATAGCGTATGATACTTTGTCAACTGTGCTTGGTTAGCATAGTAAGGGAGCGAGGGATGCTTCACACATTTCGTCTGTGGTGAAGTAGACAAGTCGGCAGCAAAGACGGATTGATGGCATGTGGCGGGGCAAGGGTGGGAAGAGGGCGACAACGGCCTGCATGAGTGGCGCTTGCTAGCGCCCTCAACAGCCAGGGATGGCGGATCTGATAACTTTAACATGACTGGGGTAGCCTGTGTGCCCTGTCCTGTAGCACTGTGATCCACCGACTTCTTGGGCCCTAGGTCGGATATAACAGTGAGGGACTATGTTTCTCCGAGGTCGCATCCAACCAGACGCTAGAAATCGAGGCTGGCGAGATGCCCTGATCTGATCAGGAGGGGAGGAGCGTTCCATCCGTCACATGTCCGCTCGCTTGGCGGGTCGAGCCAACCTCCCAAAATTGGAAGCTCGGAGCAATGTGCAAAGCCCGCCTGAATTGAGCAGCGGGTGACGCGCTTGTTAGCTTGGATGATCGAGGTGCCCTCTTGCCTGTTGGAGAGAAGGAGTGGGTTTGTCGTGGCGAAGACGACGACCATAAAATCCGAGCGAGTCGAATTGACAGGAAAAAAGTGAAATCTTGATGCAGTAAATCCTGCCTTTGCGACGGGAAGTGCCAAGCCGAGTTATCAGATTGGCCCACTTAAAGGCGGGGCGACTCCGAAAATTTTTATCTGATCCGCTTGGGCCAAGCCCGACTTCGCCCACGTTGACCAGCTCTGCCACCACCCACGCCTCGTTCTGAATCCCTTACCAATTTGCGGTAGCGTTGACCCTTCAATTGGCTGTTTCCCCATGGACCCTCGAAGAAGTTTGCACATGGTTTCAAGCCTCCGCCGGAACCGGAGGTCTCGCTCCAATCATGTCGAGGTAGCAGTTGACAGCCCCTGAGATGGTCCAACAATTGGGCCACCACGGTGTGCTGCCCAAGAACGCCTCATGCGCTATGCCAGAGATGGCGGGAGGAGCCAAGGAATGAGGGCCGACGAGTGGGCCTGTGGTCTACGAAGAAATTAGCAAAAGACCCAGCAAGCACGGAACCTGCCTGGCTCGGCAAGGCCCCTTTCCTCCGCACCCGATGTCGCTGCAGCATGGCGCGGCATTTGTCGTTGTAGTAGATCCGGCCCAGCCTCCACGATGCGTCTTTCTCTTCTTCGGCCGCTCGTGACTCTTCTTCCGTCAGGCGCACCACCAGAGCCAGACGCGAAGCAGCTCCTACCTCCTGCAGGCCACAACACCTGAACCCGGAGGGTGTGTAACCCCACGCTCTGCGGCTGAAGGCTGGATTTGACGCCATGGCTACCGATCGGGAAGCACACAACGGCAACGTCGCTGCTGCTGAGGGGGGACAGGCTGTGGTTCCCTCGGATTCGAACGGCAAAGCCGTAGTTGCTCAAGATGAACCCCCGATAGTAAGTCCTCGTCGTTGACAAACGTCGAGACCGAGATATCTTGAGTTGGATTGGCGTTTCATCGCAAAGACATTACGATGCTAATCTAATCCTCGACAGACGGCCACCGGCCAGGCCTTTACCTTCCTCCACCTCCTCTTCCGCAGCAACCCGACATGGCTCGACATTGTCCTGCTAGTGGTCGGCACCTTCTCCGCCATCGCGGCGGGCGTCCCCTTTCCCCTCGTCGGTGTCATCCTCGGAGACATGATGGACCACCTCAACGATTCGACCTGCGCCGCACGCGATGGCGGAAACGCCTTCGCCATCGAGCCCCTGGTGAATGCAGCGGTGATCCGCCTCGTTATCATTGCCGCGGCACAGTTTGTCCTAATCTACATCTACGCCGTCTGCTGGCGGCTGCAGAGCGGGCGTCTCACCCACCGCCTGCGCGACGCCTACTTTCGCTCCGTTCTTGCCCGCGAGCCCGCCTTCTTCGACAACCGCAGCGCCGGCGAGGTGTCGTCGCGCCTCAGCGCCGACTGCGCCGCCATCCAGGCGGGCACGTCCGAGAAGGTTGGCACCGTGGTCGGCCAGATATCCTTCTTTGTGACCGCCTTCATAGTCTCCTTTGTCCGGCTGCCTGTCCTTGCTGGCATCATGAGCTCGGTCCTGCCGGTATTTCTGATCACATCCTGGCTCAGCGGAGGCTATCTGGCCAAATTCTCCGGGCTGGTGTCGGACGCATCTGCCACGGCTGCCTCCATCGCCTCCGAAGCGCTCAACAACGTCTCGGTTGTGCAGGCATTTGGAGCCGGCCCAAGGCTGGAGGCCAAGTTTGCAGCTCATATGGCATCTTCACGCGGTGCCGGTATCAAAAAGGCAATCACCGCATCTTTCCAGGCTGGCTCCATCTACTTCATCAGCTACTGTGCCAACTCCCTGGCGTATTGGCAAGGAAGTCGTATGATAGCCAGCTCAGCAAACAGTGGCGGTGGCACTAGCGTCGGTCAAGTTTTTACGGTTGTTTTTCTGGTCGTAGACGGTATGTTCTTTTCCGAAGTCCATTCTATCCATCATCCCTCTGACAGCTCACAGCCTGCATCATCCTTGGCGGTATCGCCCCCATGATGCCCATTTTCGCAGGCGCCTCCTCAGCCTACCTGCGCCTCAGGAAAGACATGAACCAGCCGAGTTCCATCGACGGTACCTCGGATTCCGGTCACAAACTGTCCTATGATACCCCAGGAGCTGTCGAGTTTCGCGAGGTCTCCTTTTCGTACCCTTCAAGACCTGGTCAACTCGCCCTGAAGAATGTGGACCTTCAGTTCCCGGCCGGGAAGCACACTGCGATTGTTGGGCTATCCGGTAGTGGTAAATCCACCGTCGCTGCCCTGATTGGACGCCTATACGATCCTCTCAGTGGCACCATCACTCTTGATGGCCATCATGTCCGCAGCCTCAACGTCGGAAATTTGAGGAGCTTCATCAGTCTTGTACAGCAGGAGGCGCCGCTGTTCGACCGTTCTGTACTCGAGAATATTGCGTTGGGACTTGTCAATTCGCCCTTGCCCAGTCATGAAAAGTTCAAAGTCATCCTCAACGGGCCTTTCCTCTCTCAGCTTGTCGCGAATGGCGACAAGAACGTCCTGGAGCTCGCCCGCGCGCGCGACCCGACCCTGGCCGAGCTGGTGGAGCTTGTTCAATCCGCAGCAGAACTAGCCGACGCGTCCAACTTCATCGACCGCTTCGACAACGGGTACAGCACCCAGGTCGGCGTGGGTGGTAAGCTGGTCAGCGGAGGGCAGCGTCAGCGGATCGCGCTCGCATGCGCTCTAATCCGCGACCCGCGCGTCCTAGTGCTAGACGAGGCCACGGCCGCACTCGACTCTGCAAGCGAAAGGCGCATCCAGGCAGCGGTCGATCGCGTGGCTGCCGCGGGCGGCCGGACCGTCATCTCAATCGCGCACCGGCTGTCCACGATTCGCAACGCTGATTGCATTGTGGTGATGCGTGACGGAGAGGCCGTCGAGCGTGGACCATATGCGGAGCTGCTCGCTGCCGGCGGGGCGTTCGCCGCCATGGTTAACCTGCAAGGAGTGAGCTCTGGCGACGACCGTGACAGTACGATTTCCCGCGCGAGCACCTGCGCCAACGAGGGTGAAGCGCCTGACGCGGATGTAAAGGCGTCTGGCCCTGCTATTTCTATTGATGAAGAAAGCCCCGCACCAAAGTCTGGGAACCAAGGAGAAAAGAAGGAGGCGGATGAGCCGACTGACCTAGACGCGATAACGCCCTCGTCCGCCGTGGGTAAGGGGGTAGGATGGCTGATCCGTCCCAGCCTTGGGTGGCTTGTTCTGGGCGCCGTCTGCGCCGCCATTGTCGGGTGCTCCTTCAGTGCCTCAGGTATTCTTGTCGGGAACACACTCGCCTTGCTGAGTCCCTGCGTTTCCTCACCCGAGGGCGTCCTCCAAGTAGGTCGTCTCTTTGGAGGATTGCTTTTCATGATGGCCTGGATCGAACTTGTGGCCAATGTCGGCAGCTGGAGCTCCTTTGGTGTCCTCTCCGAGAACATCCTTTACAAGACCCGCGTCCTCGCCCTCCGCGCCTTGATGAGCCAGACGGTTGAGTGGCATCAGTCAGACGGCCGCAACCCAGCGACGTTGCTGTCAATCATCACCAAGGACGGCGCGGCGCTGCAGGGTTTCAGTGGCTCCATCATCGGAACGCTGCTGTCTATTTTGGTCAACTTCCTGTTTGCCATCATCCTTTCCCACATTCTCGCCTGGAAGATTGCCCTTGTTTGCCTCGCTGCCGTCCCAATCCTGTTGGGTGCAGGAATCATGCAGTTCCACGCCATTGCGCGCTTCGACGAAAAGCACGAGAAAGCGTTTGCGCGGGCGGTCGGCATCACTGTCGAGGCGGTCAACTCGATGAAGACGGTCGCCTGCCTGTCGCTGGAGCAGGAGCTGATAAGCAGCTACCGCCGCACTCTCAAGGCACCCCGGAGGGACATCCTAGTCGCGAGCATGTACACCAACATTTGGATGTCGGTTGCTCAAAGCACAGGCTTCTTCGTCAACGGGCTGGTTTATTGGTGGGGTTCCCAGCTCATCATGCGCGGAGAATACACGCAAAGCCAGTTCTTCACTGTCAACATCGCGCTTCTCGTGAGCGCGAATCTGTGGGGTCACACTTTTGCGCTAGCCCCTGAGATTTCACGGGCTAAAACATCAGCTTCACGTATTCTCGGCATCATCGAGCTCAACCCGGACCGCGAGCTGTCTCCGCCGCCGAGCGCACGTGGTCCTGGCCCTGCCAGCGAAAAGCAAAAGCAGCCAGATGTTGAGGCAGCGAGCAATACCCCGACCTCGCCTTCGTCTCCGCTACTCCTTCCCGATGGCGAAAGTCGCGGCGTTTCCATCGCCTTCCGCGACGTCTGTTTCGCTTACCCTGCCAGACAGCACGTCCCGATCCTGAACGAGATGACCTTCACCGTCGCCCCAGGCCAATTCATCGGGCTCGTCGGGCCCTCGGGCGCAGGCAAGTCAACAATCCTGGCCCTGATGCAGCGCCTCTACGCCCCGACGTCCGGCACCATCTCCATTGATGGCGTCGACCTGTCCTCCCCGGGCGGCGCGGCCGCCTTCCGCGACGACGTCGCCGTCGTGCCGCAGGACAACGCCCTCTTCGACGGCACGGTCCGCTTCAACGTCGGCCTCGGCGCGCGGCCGGGCCACGACGCCAGCGACGCCGAGATCGAGGCGGCGTGCCGGCTCGCCAACCTTCACGACACCATCACGAACACGCTGCCCGACGGCTACGACACCGAGTGCGGGCCCAACGGGTCCCGGCTGAGCGGCGGGCAGCGGCAGCGGCTGGCCATCGCGCGCGCGCTCGTGCGCCGGCCCCGCCTCCTGCTGCTGGACGAGAGCACGAGCGCGCTCGACGCCGAGAGCGAGGCGGCGCTGCAGGAGGGGCTGGAGCGCGTGGCGAGGGGCATCACCGTCGTGGCCATCACGCACCGCCTGCACACGGTCCAGAAGGCCGACGTCATCCTGGTCGTGCAGGGCGGCAGGGTCGCCGAGCGCGGCACCCACAGGGAGCTGATGGAGCGCAGCGAGAGCTACCGCGTCAACGCCATGCAGCAGATGCTGAGATAGGGGCCGTTGCCCGGCTGATACTCGCAGTAGTTGACTTGCCAATAGTAGGGAAGGGGAGCAGGCATTCACTTTAGTGCTGTATTTAAAGGACTTCAAGCACGCCGACTTTCCTTGATTGCCTTCCAAAGCGGCTGTAAGCGGCCCTTTGCTTGGTATCGTCAAGGAAAATACGAATGATCCGAGTTTTGAGTCACATTTACCCATTTTCAACCTAGTATTTCTAATACATGGGCCATCCTTGTCCGTTTTGACGTAGGAGCCTTCCATGTTTACCGCGAGGCCCGGGTGTGGCATGACATTTTGTCAAATATCAGCGGCTTTGGGCAGTCGGCCAGAACACGCGATGGTAAACCGGATGCAAGCTGAGAGTTCAGCAATGTATGAGCTGCAGAGCCTCCCCTGCGCTTGTTCAACGTGGATATTTGCCGATCATATCCCGAACAAGCCGCCAAGCAATTCATACAGCACCGCAGCACGCTTTATTGCCCCAGGAAGTCGGGGCTGCTTTCCATCCTTGCCGAGATGCTCGGTGATCGGATTCAGAAGACAGGCTACGCCTTCCTGCAAGTCGTCGGGGCTGTTGGGGTCCGGCTGCATCTCCATGCAGACATTTGGAGCCTTTTTAGAAGGGCGGCTGGTGGTATTGCTATCGATCCGAATGATATATTGATGTGGCCAAGGCAAACCCCGCTTCCACAGGGCAATGTAACCACACCCTCGTCTTTGGATCTTGCGTATAATAGTGGTAGCTACCCTTTGTGACCAAGCAAAAATGCCCTCCGCTTACATACAGCTCAGCCGCAGTGACACCCCCGAATATGCAGCCAAGGTGTATCGGGAACCTTATCGGAGTCGCGCCGTTACCGCACAGGGCACTTCTTGGAGCCAACCGCACAGCAGGGAGAAGATGTATATATTAACAGAGACGGGTATGCAGCCGCAATATCGTTCCCTAGTGCTTACTTTATTGGAATCTTGGCGACCTGCGCCTGGGAAGTCCAGGCTGGACATACCTTATTTTTTTAACAGGCATCGTAGGAGTGATAGGATGGCGCAGTACCCTGACAGCTTCCATAGCCTATCTACTGCTTACACCCTTTGTTTAACGTCGGTTTCGTGGTCACTAGACAAGTATACACAGCCAACTTGTGGTTTAAAAGCTGTGCGCAGTCTTGTATGTGCCCTGTGAATGGAGTCGTACCCGAGGTTGGCGAGACTTCTCGGGCAAGTATATGCACGCGCATGGCGCAAGGAGCAAGTATTGGTCATCCTGAAGAAAAATGACACCTGATCTGTGATGGGTTCAGCTGAGGCACGAAAAGAAAGGTGTATGAAGTGGATCCGATGGCTGGATGTGGGAGGCGCGTCTCTATCATGCCGCGATGACCCCGGCGGCCACGAGATCAGCTAGAGTAGTAGCTACCGAGGCTGTTGTATCACGATGTGTGGGGTTTTGGTCTTGGATGTCTATAAAATAAGGACGAGCCCCTCAAGCTTCATCAACAGGAGGAAACAGAGAGCAGAGCAAAGAAGCCATCCTCCCAGCCAGACCTCTCAAGAGACCCCTTTCCCTACCTCCTCAACAGCCCAACCCCGGCCCCAGCCTCACACCAAACCCCTCCCTCCCCAACCGCCCCTCCAAGATGCACTTCTCCCAGGTCACCACCACCATGCTCGCCCTCGGCGCCGGCCTCGCATCGGCCGTCGACGTGCGGCTGTACTACTCCAACAACTGCAGCGGCAACTACCTCGTGTGCAGCGGTCTGGGCGCCAACGTGTGCTGCACCGGCACGTCCGTGAGCCTGTACTGGGTGGTCAACCGGTCCCTCGACGCGCGCGGCTTCGCCGGCGGCAACTGCGGCGAGCTCCGCAGCGCCCGCCGCACGAGCTCCAGCTTCTGCATGCCCGGCACGGGCGTCGTCTACACGGGCGGCCGCTGGGTCGTGCCGGCCAGCCTGCGCGTGCGCGACCAGGACGTGTGTGCCGCAGCCGTGGGCAAGTGCAACGCAGTGCAGAAGCCCGACACGCTCGTGCTGGCCGACGGGTCCAAGTTCAAGATTGCGGACCTTGACGACGCCAAGGTTGAGAAGCTGGTGCGTGACTTTTTGCCATGGGAGAGGAGAGTTTGCCATGCCGGACTGCCAGCTAATGCCTGTCTTTTGGATTTAGTACGAACCCATCACCGCCCATTCCGAGCCCACAAGAGAAGCCCTTTCTTGCCCCTCCCGGCCCGTCTCTTTTTACTGCTGACCGCTACGACGCTTATTTCACTGGATCCGCTGACAAAAATTATCTCTGTGACTCTAGCCTCGCCGTATCGACCGCTAAGGATGTCCCTGAGGAGTTCAAGGCGCTGCTTGTCAGCTCCTAATCCACCCATCACCGGTGTGGAACGCTTTTATGTCATGTGCAAGATGCGGCTTTGCAGCTGGAAGACGGTGCGCACTGTTATCCAAGAGGCTGCGCTGTGGCAGGTGGACGGCTACGACGTGGAGGGCGGGCTTGGGACGCCCCATTTGATGTCTTCGATTCTTGGAGGGCTACTGCAACTGGCTCTCTTGTCTAATGTGATAGGCATCGCCAAGGACTCTCCTGTCATGTTAGATGTTGTAGCAAGGAATTGTTTCATCGAGGCTCCAATGTGTAGTCCCGAAAGTGCGCATCACATGATATACACGTGATATTGCCCCCGGCACCTCATCTCCCATGTCGATCTTTGCTGTCCTCGCTCAGACCTTCCACTCCTTGCCCTTCCACTCCTTTCCACCACCCCTCTCCTGCTCAGCGCGGCCGGGGTGACATCGCAGCGTATCAGCGCGGTCGTTCCCCCCTCGCCCAACGAAGGCAGCCCAATCATGGGGCCCACCCCGCCCGGGCATCAAGTCGAACCCACCGCATGGCCGTCGTCGGGCCCCTGGGTTGGGCTTTCCCAACCCTCGCTTCCCCGCAATCTGGGAAGAAGGGAAATCACGCGAACGCCGTCTACGGCAGATGGAATGACGACGACGGGCAGGCGAGCTCTGGTGTCTCGCTTTGGTTTCCCGTACCTGCATCCCTGCCCAGGCCTTGTGTGTGTGTGCGCGCGCGGCGCCTGCGTGTGTTTTGCGGCGCTTGCCCGACTGGCTAAGAATATTCCCTCACGTTGCCTTATGTCGTTTTTGTGCGCCCTGAAATGTGTGTTGGGAAACAAATTCGCCACCGAGACAGGTGGCGTTGTATGAATCCATTGAGGAGAGCAGGGCGGGCTGGCTTTGGGACAACGACTGGCTGGGAGGATGCGTGACGAGGTGAAGTCGACGGCCCTCCCCGGCCCAATATCCGTCCTGTGCGGTCCAAATTCACCTAGACCCTTCGCCGTCGGTCAACCCGCAGGTCCGGCCCACTTTTTTGCCTGCCATGGCCGGGGCGGCCTTTCTGGACACAAATCTTGGCGGGTTGCCGGAAGCCGGGCTCCAACCGAGCTACGTGGATTCCGACGGGCCAGATCGCAGGCCGCCAACCACAATCGAAAGCACACGTGTGACGGTGGACAAGAAGACCTCTGAAGTCTCCCGCGTCAAAAAGGTCAGATCATCATCCCCGTCTCACCAAGATCTAGAGTCCACCATGGTCAAAGTCTAGACCGACTCTCCCAGTCCAGGGGTATCTTTTCTTCGTATTTCCCACCGCCGCTTTGGATGCACTGTTTTCGCTGTTTCCGCATGTGGCTGGTGCTTGCTGCACCAACATGTTTACTGCATTGGCGTGCTTGCCGCATTGGCGTGTCCGCTGCATTGACAAGTGTGCCGACGTGATGGGGCGAGGCGATCTAGAGCAGGGGAAAAGGGGGCCGGCGTCCTGTGGCTAGGTCGCGCAACGCACGGTAGCGCCATGGTAGCACCCATGGATGGCATTACAGATGCTGTAGCAACACTGTGCATGCGATGCGATACATCCCAGCATCCCGGCATCAGGCCGGCGAGCTGTCCTTTTCGGTCACCCCTGGGAATTGGGAATGCGGAGGTGGATTGGTCTAGCGCGGTCAGCCGCCCCGCGTTTTCCAGCAAAGCAACCGAAGCAGACGCCAGGATCGGTCCGGCATCTTTTCTGGGAGCGAGTCGAGGCGTGCGCGGGCCCACCCGGGAGGGGTCCCGAGGATGGGGTGGCAGGATCCAGACCTATGGTTGTGGAGGGCGGCGGGCCGGCAGCAGGCGGTGAAGGAGGGAGGGGGCTTGAATGGATTTATGCCTACTCGTAGACTATGTGTGTGTATGTGTGTGTGGTTGCTCTTCTGCACCTTTTGCACTGAATTTAGAGTGAACTGCACACACCAAACCGGGCGGGCTGTAGCAACCCGAGCCGGAAAAGACAGGATTGGGTAATGGGCAAAGGAGCACGGGACAAGGAGCACGGGACAAGAGGGCTGGATGGATGGTGGCACATGGATGGTGCGGGGATGGGAGACAGCGAATCAATGAAGGGGGCTGCTTGGGCGGGCGAATGGGGCAGCCCCATGACGTCGCCCACGAGGCCCTCTCCCTGCCTGGACTTCTGGTCTCCTTCCATTCAGCACCTCAGAATGCATTCGGGTTTTTTTTTCTGTTGGGGGCCGCGACGAGCGTGTGATGGGCAAAGTTTCCGCGATTGGGCGGCCAAAGGTGAGGGTTGCATTTTTCACGGGTTCTGGCAGTTTGAGGTGATGTGAGATGAGTTGGGCAGCAAGGGTTGACACTAAAGGTGGGGGCAGAGATACACGTGTCGGCTGCTTGGTGGTGGTGGTGCGCCTTTTTTCGACCCCATCGTCTTGATTTGCTAGCCTGTCGATGCAGGCGGGTGGCTTGGACTCTGTTTTGGGAGCGGGGTGGCCGTGGCTGGGAAGAGAAAAGCAACATGGAAACACAAAATCAACAAACCAAAGCAGCAGACCAAAGCAGCCTGCATTCGATAGCGCTATGCGGCGCTCGCTATGTCTTCTTGTTGGAGACGCCCAGGACCGAGACTGAGACTTGACCAAAGGCCAGGCAATGCCATCGGGCCAGGCTTGTCCAGACCTGGGTAGGATTGCCGTGGGTCGCGGCCTTTATTGGGCCGCGATGGAGCTAAAGGTTCCGTCGGCAGGCGGTGGGCGCCTTCACGGGTGTGAGTGGGGGGCGCTGTTTCGGGAAGGCGCCGTGTAAGTGGCCCGCCTCTGGGCCAGTCCTGCCTCGCTCCCGCCCTTTTTGGATTTTCAGAGCGCAGAGGCTAGCGTGGGTTGAGAAGCGCAGAGAGGAGGACCATAGAGAGGCAAGAGGCAAGTTGCGGGCCAGTGACAAAAAAGACGGGGCCGGGCGACACATCATCGCCCGCAAGGCCGGGTTCTGTGCATGCATACGGCGCCGGATTGAGACACTGGCGATGTAGTCGCGGAGCGGGCGGCTGGCATCTGGACAGAATGCTGGGGCAAATGCTGGGACAAATTCTGCGACCAATTTCTGGATCAAGGTGCAAAGAAAGGCATGATGCTAATGTCGACGGGCTCCATTTTTGGCTTTTGCCGGGTGGAGGCTCACACCACATGCACTCTGCAGCGGCAACAGCGCTGCTGCAGCAGCGACTGCATCGTCGACGCTCCATTGATGCAACTGCTGCAACACGCTGCACCAGACACCACAGGAAGCACCATTCTGCAGCCGAAGACCGACTGGTGCTTCATCCGACTGGAGGGCCAGCTTGAGATCCAACCCGAGATCACATTGGAGATCCGACTGGACACCGGAACACCCTTCCCATCGAATCGTGTGCTCGCGTGCCGTAGGCAGACTGTAGGCAGACTCCCACACGGAAGAGTAAACACTCGGAGCCTCACGACAACAGACGACACACACTCACACACACCTCACGACTCCGTGTTGGCGACGCGCTGCCCTCCACGCTCCACCGCCGGGCAGCTTTGAGCTTTGACACGAAAAGATACACCCCTCTGTCCGCACGTAGAGTCACACAGATCATCGTGTCCGTTTCATAGGCACCCTCATGACCGTTGGGAATTGCACTGCCTGGGACTGTGTTGTCCGTTGCCAAATATGGCAGCATCAATGTCCAATCCTCTGCCAGCACGGCGGCTTCGATTCGCCCCCGGGGTCGTGGCAGCAGCCCACCGCGACCGCAGCGGCGCCAGACCGACCGTCTTGCTCACCCTCCGGCGGCTCCCGAATCCCTGGCCGACGAGCCCAAACGAGTCGCTGGCAGGCGCGATTGGGGTGTTGAAACGTGGTCAGGCGGACCTGACCCAGCGGCCGGCGGCTTGGGAGAGGGATGGCGGGAATGTAGATGGATGCTTGTGATGGGCGACGATGCTGGGGACGGCGATGGTACCTTGCTTCGACGCAAACAATGAATGTCGCTGCTGCCGACAGACGGCGATCGCTCAGCCCAAGTGACCATGGTGGGCAAATAATGAAGGGCATGTGTCCTGCTTCCCCTCACGGATCGCCCTTTTTTGCTCATTTCGAGCACCATGTTTTGTGCGTTCGTCAATGCCGTCTATGCAGCCATCCGACCAATGTGGAAAATTCAAGCCTTCTGACCGCCCTAGCAAGGGAGCTCCCGGTCGGCCAGCGCCAATGGCAGACCCCCCTTTGGGCGTGCCCCCAGCGAACTGAATCAGTGCTGGCCAAAGCCGGTTGGGTAGCAACGTCGCGCGGTTGGGCTCTGCCGGGGCCCTGTTCACGACACACCACGCCGGCCCAACGAGTGGCTGTACAACGCCTGGGACCGACCATTCAGGCCGCCCTGGCGCCGACCAGACGCGCCCGCCGACGCTGCCAGCGACCCTCTGGGGCTCTGGAAACGCCCGGGCCTATGAGTCAGATGTGTCAACAACATTGAGCCCAGGAGCCCAGGGCACACACCCAGGGCACACCCAGGGCACACACCGCAGCCAGGGGGCGCATGGCTGGGCCGCATGCGGCGCCTGCTCTGGGCTCTTGCGGTGGGCTTGCTGTGGGCTTGCTGTGGGCTTGCTGTGGGCTTGCTGGCCTGCTCCCCATTTGCCCCAGACCCTCGCCTTGTTTCTTATAACCCGGCCCCGGGGTGCTGCCGCCCATCGCACCCCCTCGCCCTGACCCAAAAAGCTCTTGCCTCAAAAGCAGCACAGCGCCGAAAGATGAGAAGCCAAGACACCGCCTATCCCTCCCTCTCAACCCATTTATGGAAAGCAGGACCTCGGAACTTCAGGCCACGACTTCTCCCCAGCTAAGAACCCCGCAACACAGCACAACAAGCTGCCAATAATTACCATCAGTCACCACCACCCCGAACACTCCTAGAACCGTCCAGACCGTCTACCGCTCTCGACGACAGAAACACCACCACGCCCGACGACATCGACGGCGATACACAGAGAAATGATGATGAGGCCAAGCGTAAGGACAGACATGTCTGTCATGGAGAGGCCCAGGAACAGCATGGACGACCAGTCGACTTCAGACAGGTTGAGGTCCCGTCTGTCGGGCGCCGCCGGCAGCATGGTTTCCGTCGCCACCGGAAACCAGCAGGTCTTGAGGAGGAGGCGGTCGAGCATCACCAACGACTCGGAGCTGTCCGTCAACACCAACGCCGCCTCGGCTGGCGGCTCTGAGATTGGCTCGCCGCCCCGCGTGAACAGGCCTCCCTTCGCTCCCAGGAGGCCAAAGGTTACCTTCCCGACCTCGCTTTCGTCATCGGCACTTCAGACGCTCTCGCGGCAGAGCCCTGAGCCGACCCAGAACAGCCAGCAGCAGCAGCACCAACACAACCAACACCAGAACCAGGAGCAGAAGAAGCCGGCCCGCATCTCTCTGAAGCCTGCATTGAAGCCCTCTTCCTCCCACCCAGCGGGGCAGCACGCTCACCAGCACAGGCCGCCCATCCCGCCACCTCCCTCTTCCGAGGCGCCCAGTGGGCCGTCTACTGTGTCCCTGACTGACAGCGAGTCCATGCCCACGAGGCGCCCTGGGGGTCCTGTCCTTCCGGCCAGCTCAAAAGATGGAGCGGCCGCAGCTGCCGTCTCCTCCCCAGAGCGCCGGCCGGCTTGGCTACTCCATGCCGGGTGGCTGGGATGAGCTGGACGAATCCAACTCGCGGGAGGAGCACAACGAGATGATCAGGAGGCGACCAGCTGCCCACCACCACTCGCTGCCGTCCTCGCCGCGACACAGCCCGCGTGAGATCGAGTACATCCCCGACTCACGCCGTCAGTCCGAGTCTGACTTTAGCGACACCGACCTCTCCGAGACTACCGAGGCTACCACCACCACCATGTCTGATACAACTGTCAGCTACACCCAGCCATCGAGGAAGCCCAAGGTGCTCCTGCCCAACAACGGCAACTACGCCCTCAGCCGCAGCAACAGCAACAGGGACAACGACAGGAGGGCGCTCGCACCCCAGCCTCCGCCACCACCCGCCCGCCGCTACAACAACAATGGCGGCGGGCGTCCGGAGTCGCCTCCCAACCCCCGCGCGCTGGAGCGCATCATTGCCAGCAAGGGGGCTCCCCCTCCGCCCCCGCGCCCGGCCCCATCGACACGCTCCGAGGCCGGCCGCCGCACTCTCCACATCGAGGTCATCGCCCCGCCGGCACCCAAGGAGACCGAGGAGCAGGTCAGGCGGCGCGAGGAGGAGATCCGCCGTCGCGAACGCATCGAGGCCAATCTTCTCGACAAGATTGCCGACCTGGAACTCCAGCTGCAGCAGGAGGCCGAGTCCAAGATGGCTCTCATCCGCGCCCGCAGCCCGTCGCCCGCCAAGTCGACGACGCGCGAGGTTGAGGTTGCCGCCGCCGCCGCCGCCGCCGTCGCCACGGCCGAGGCCCTGGCATCCAAGGAGCAGCTGAGCGGCGCGCTCGAGCGTCTCTCGGTCATGCAGTCCCAGCGCGAGGCCGAGGCCCAGCAGAACAAGGAGCAGCTCAGCGGCGCGCTCGAGCGCCTGTCGGTCATGCAGGCCCAGCGTGAGGCCGAGGCCCAGGAAAACCAGGAGCGGCTCAACGGCGCGCTCGAGCGCTTGTCTGTCATGCAGGCGCAGCGCGAGGCCGAGGCTCGCGAGAATCAGGAGCGGCTCAACGGCGCGCTCGAGCGCCTCTCGGTCATGCAGGCCGAGCGCGAGAGGCGGGAGAACCACGTGCAGTCCCTGGCTCTGGCGCGCGACCAGGAGCGCAGCCGGAGCGAGGAGCTTGCCCGCCGCACCGAGGAGATGCAGTACCAGATCGAGCGGCAGACCAAGGACCTGGCCGGGGTCAGGGAGACGCTGCTGGAGCAGAGCAAGCTGCTCGAGGACCGCTGCGCCCTCCTCACCCAGGCCCAGCTGGAGCGCGACCAGGCCCGCGACTCCAGGATCGAGGCCGAGGCCCGTATCAACATCCTGGAGCAGGAGGTCTCCGATGTCCGCGCGGCCAAGTCACAGTCCGAGATTGTCACCATCGAGCGCCTGGCCGCCAGCGAGCTGGTGCGCGAGGTGCTCGAGATCAAGGTCAACGGTTTCGAGGCCGAGGTCAAGAACAAGGTCATGGCCATCGAGGACCTGACCAAGGAGCGCGACGAGCTCAACGTGGAGCTGACCAAGTCCAAGGCCGAGGTTGTCGTGCTCACCGAGGAGAAGATGGCGCTGCAGGTGGCCAAGGCCGACGCGGAGAAGAGGATCGCTGAGCTGGAGGATGACGGCTCCAGGATGAGGGTCACCATCGCCACGCTCGAGGGCGAGAAGGCCGTCTTGGAGACAAAGGTCGCCAACGTGGAGGAGGAGATCAAGAACAAGCAGGCCAGGGTCGACGACTTGGAGAAGGCCACTGCCGAGAAGGACACCCAGATCACGACGCTGACGACCGAAAAGAACGGTCTCTCCACCGAAGTGGTCATCCTCGCGGCCGCCAAGGAGGAGAAGGAAAAGGAGCTCGTCGCCACCAAGGAGCAGAATGAGAAGGAGCTCGCGGCCGCCAAGGAGCAGGGCGAGATGGTGGTCACGGCGCTCACCAACAAGATCACCACCATCGAGATGGAGAAGGACAAGCAGCTGGCCGATGCCAAGGAGATGACGGAGAAGGAGGTGGCGGCCGCCAAGGAGGCCAACGCAAGGTCGCTGGCGGAGCTGCAGGACAAGATCAACGCGGCCGAGGCCGAGGCCGCCAAGATCCAGGCCGAGCTCAAGGACCTCCAGGACAGCACCCCCGAGGACTACACGGCCGCCGTCGTCAGGTTCGGCCAGGAGAAGGACGAGCTCGCCGATCAGGTCGCCGCGCTCAAGGCCGAGGTGGAGAGCAAGGCGGTCGAGGCCGACGTGAGGGTCGCGGCCCTCGCGGCCGAGAAGGCGGGCCTCGAGGCGCAAAAGGCGGCGCTCGAGGCCGAGACGCGCCGCATCCCCGAGCTGCGCGACGAGGCGGCCGCCCAGTCGGCCGCCCTGGCCTCCCGCATCGCCCTGGCCCAGCAGCAGACGGCCGAGGCCCAGGCCCAGCAGCAGACGGCCATGGCCGAGGTGCAGCGCATGACGGCCCACGTCGCGGCCCTCAAGACCAAGATCGCCGAGGCGTCCAAGTCACGCAAGGAGGCCAAGAAGAAGGCCAAGGAGGGCTTCTTCTTTGTCCGGCCGTCTCAGGACCGTGGCAGGATGTGAGTTTTTATCTCTCTCGCCCCCTTGTACACCAATGCATATCGACAGCAAAACTGACCCTCTTCCCCTCTGCAGGCAGGTCATGAAGAAGAACGAGCTCAAAGAAGCCGCCCGCAGTTCTCGCAGCTCCTCCCGCAACGGCGCAGAGAGCCAGGCGTGAACCATGTTTCGATTTCCCTTTGTCACACATTCTCACTCGTTACCCCATTTCATTTGTCAAGCTTTGCATATCTCATTCTCTTCTTCCCCTTTGTCCCCCTTATCCAACCATAATAGAAGGCTGGCTCTTTTTTTCCTGCATACAAAACTTCTTAAAACCTAACCCCCCATATTGTCTGTATCATTTTATGTTTGATTGTTTTTTTTGGCTTATTATTTTGTTTTGCCTCTTTTTGTCTAGAAGAACCAGAGCCTTGCGGCCACGCTGGCATATGATATCACGAGGCGGCGGTTGAAGACCGACAAAATGGCATGTACGTGGAGTTTGTGTAAAAAGATTGAAAGGGAACCAACGACTTGATGTAGGACGATAATGACAGCGAGGTGTAATTTGGCACTTTAATTCCATGTTTTTGCATTTGAAGCTCTGCGTGTGATGCTCGACGATGTGACGTGTTTGTCGTTGCCGTTGGTCGCACGTGGGCCTATCGCTCTCAGCTTTGATACTGGGCTTACTCGGGGGGACTGTCAATTCACTGTTCATAACCCCCACCACCTTCTACATAGCCACCCCAGCCCCCAAGCTTGCTTGTGTGATCTTCAAGAGCATACGGTAAGGGTCATCTATCCCGGCCATGACACCGGAGCTGGCGAGTCCAAGCTCGTCGCCATACTCTTCGAGGCCATCCGGCGCCGCCCTGCCGTCACCGCCACCTATGAGTAGCCACCGGCCGAGCTGCTCCACGGGAAGAGCCCTAATGACTTGAGGCAATCTCTCTCCAGGAGCAGGAGCGCACCCGCCTCCTCGCCGACCTGACCGGGACCCCCTTCCTGCTCCCTGCCGCCTGTGTCGTCGCCACGGACCCCGTCGTCGGTCGAGCCGCCCCACGAGATATCCCGACAGCGCCGTGCTCGGCTGCCACGTCAAGGCCGTCCGCGTCTCGGGCTCGAACTAGTTACGAGGAGAGCCTTGGCGGGCAACGTCGCATCAGCGCCAGATCAGCACACGGCATCGGCTTTTAGCCGGGAAGCCTGGTTTCCCCTGGACGGATGCAACAGATGATGGGCTGCGCCTCGGCCATGTCGAACAGTCCCAAGGACCTCCATCAACTGGTTCTCGTCGAAACATTTCGAGGTTTGTCCGACGTCTTGGCAATCACGACCAGACCTTGGAACACATCAAAAAAGACCGAGAGGCAATCAAGAAAGTGCTTGAACTCCATTGCCGACGCCATGGCAGCGATCAGGCGAAAAGACCTGGACAGCCGCCGAAGCTCCGCAACCTCTACGGTCCTGTCGATCGCGGAGAGCATCTCGCCGAGGACGGTGCCCGCGATCGCCCTCCCGTTTCCTGGTTATCACTACAGCACCTTTGACACCGACTCGCTCACAGCGTCGCGACAAGCCCTCTGGCTCGACACCTCCGTGGCGATCAGCGAAGGTGACGGACGGGATTCAGCCCCGGGGCGTCTCATGTCGCGTCAAAGGGGGACCACGATGACGCGGAGAAAGCGCACCAGCCCTCCGCCCCCCAGCGAAAGAAAAGTGGGCCTTGACCCGATTTGACTCTTGAGCCCTGCCATGCTTCCAATGCTGCGTAACGCCGAGTTCTGATGCTTGCTCCTACCCTTGGCGAAAGCTTGTTGTGAGTACAAAGGCGTCACTTCCGGCAATTGCCCACCAGCATTGGCAGCGGGAAGCTGGACAAGGCCAAGAGGGCTAGGTAGCAACTAGATACTTGGATGGGCGGCTAGCTGTGGTGTATGTGTGGGAGGCTGGGATTGCTGGTAGGTTGTGTGGTGGTGGAGTGTCCCAGCAGGGCGGACGGCGCGCAGAGATGCCTCATACTTTCGGAACATGGTTGGTAGCCCCCCGAGGACGTGGACGAGATGAAGGACTATCTGCTCGACATGGAGAAAAGAATGGGATACGACAGTTATACATCAAGCCCTTGGGCACTTGAGCACCTCCGACACATACTGGACAACTAGTATGCATTTCGGACACCATGGAACTGTACCAATACATTGCTGTACAACTGATGGGCATCTACATGGCAATCCAGCCTAGTTGCGGCAGAGGCATAGCATAAACAAGCGCGGGAATCCCGTGGCACGAGGTACTTGACAAGCACTACCCACAGTTCCGTCTTGGGAGCCGGCTTGATCAAGGACCCGGATCTCTTCTCTCATCGGAGGGGAGATGTCCAGAATTGTGAAAAGGCTGGCCTCGACCTTGGTCTGTCGGAGGAGCTCTATAACGTCCAGGACATCCTTCTTGCGGGCTCCAGTAATGGGGGCGCGACGCCTTCGGTTCTTGCGCGCCCTAATATCCGATACTGGCTTCAAAGCTTGCACGAGTTTTGTCTTGTCGGCCTTGTTCACGGCCTGGATAAGAGCGATGGCCTGCTTGGTCATGTCATGTAAGGATGTGTCTTCCTCCCATACAGCCTCGTCCTTATCCCACACGTACCTCTATGCACGCTGCCGCCGACCAGCCCGACGGCCTCGACAACGAATTGTGCAGTCACCTCGAGGACGGCAGTCTGGTCCGTTATCTTTTTCCTACCCAGGAACCCAATAGTTCGCCTTATACATGCCACCGGCAAGCTAGCCAACCATTTCCATATACCATCCACGTCGCTATTAAAACTAAAATTAGTAGAGTATAATGTCCAGGGCATGTGGCAGCCAGCTAAATCACCATACCTCATTTCTCAGATTAATATCTAAAAAAAACCTAGGCTGACCAAGCTATGCGTAATATAGTATTTCCTCAAGGACTACGCCGATATTTCCAATCCCGAAACAATCTTGGACTTCGGCACAGTAGGAGATTGGAATGAGGTCTACGGAAAAGGAGTATCTACGACCGGTACGCATTTTCGCACGTATGCCATCCTCGGAAATAATGGCCCATACCGTATCCAAATCTGGGACAGGGCGTCGTTCCACCCGCTGAAGTGCTTCCTGGAGGGACGCCGCGTTGCTTGTGTGGCTGTAGCTGGGGAGGTGCCAGATCGCCGGGGGCCGTCCGGGATGGGGAGTCGGGTCGGGAAAATCTTGTGGTACAAGGAGGAAGCCAAGCTGTGATATGGACATTAGGTTCGTTTTTCGAATTTGCCTTGGCTTAGGGCTCATCATGTTGCCATTTACAAGGGGTCCGGGTGGCTCACAGCTATCAATGTTCAAACTACAAACATATCCACTCCCAACCCCTCACAGATGGGGCTGGATTCTACTGGGCGCGAAGGTGCACAAGGTCGCAGGGCGGCGTAGTAAATGCACCACGTATTCTTGACTTGATTCGTCACCTCGTACAAGGATGGGCTATCTAAAGGGATACATCCAAAAGAAAAAACCACATGACAAATCTGGTTCGATTGCTCCAAGAGCCTCTAGAAGTCGCCGGGGGACACTGCAGACGGAAAGGAAACAAGGTCGTCTCCTGCTTGGCTTCTTTCTGTTTACAAAGGTGCGGGGGTCGCCGGGGGAGCGGGGGCGGTGTCATTGGAGGGCGGGGTGGACCTGAGCTCGATCTGGGCGTTCTGGGCGCCGTTGGAGTCGGTGACGTTCCAGACGAGGGCCTTGACTCCCTCCTGGTTCGTGGACTGGGCGTAGAAGGCCGTCTGCAGGGCGCCCGAGGCCTGGTCAATGTGCAGCGCGAGCTTGCCGTAGAAGCTGAAGCCCTTGGTCTCGGCCTCGTCGACCTGGCCGGCGGTAGCGTTCAGGGGCAGGAAGCCGATGGCCTTGGAGTCGGAGTTGGGGCGGGGCACGTAGAGCTGGGCCATGTCGAGCTTGGGGCTTGAGGTGCCGTTGGTCGACGCCAGCCAAACGTCACCCTGCTTGGTGACTGCGGATAGGGTTAAAGGGGAAATTAGCCGGCTGAAAGTATTCCCAGGAACGGGTCTAAACGTGTATTCGGGATTGGGATTGGGGGCATGTGACCGGCCGGAGGCGTCGTCAGGGGAAGGGAACTATATGATCGGTGGTATAAGGGGTTGGGTGTTTGGTGGATTGGTTGAAACAAATCGGCATTGCCACGCGGACATTTTTAGGAACTTACAGCGAACAGGCTCAGCGCCAGCCTTGACAAGATCAACCTTGGAGGTGTCGACCAGGTAAGCGGCCCCTGCAACAGAGGAGCGGGGAACACCATGTCAGTCTGATCCGCGGGGGAATCAAGGGGATCGCATTTTGGGCAGCGACTTACCGTTCTTGGCGCACAGCTGGATGCCGCCAAGGCCAGCTCCGTAGGCAAACAGATCAAAGTTGTGCCCATCGTCGAGCTTGGCGAGAGCCAGACCGGAGACGGCCGAGAACAGCGACATGGCGCTGGCGACAACGGGGAGGACGTGCATCATCTTGAGAAATTGTGGGGTGTCTGGCGAGGTTGTGAAAAAAGAAGTCGAAGGCTGTGAACAAGAATTTGGCAGTCGGGAAAGAGTGTGGTGAGGTGAGAAATCGGGAGAGAGTGAAGAGACTTCGCTGCTGGAGTAAGAGGAGCAGGACGAGACGACTAGGAAGTCTTACCCGGCGCCTTTATCTCTCTCGGGGGTGTGGCACCACCGGCTGTGCCGCCCTAAATAGGGAGGGCGTGCCCGGTTGGGGCGGCATGAGCATCAGAAGGAGAGACCGCGTCCACGACAAAGGGGGCGCACGCACCCCTCCCCATCGGGGTTATTGGCGAACATAGTCACTCTCAGGTATAGTGCGTCCGTCCGCGTGAGCGATTATCGACGGGATGTGGGCGCTGGCGGGCTGCTGCTGCACGGCTAGGATCTCCATCCGTCGACTCCGCCATGCCAAGCGCGCCTGATACCCATCTGCAGATGCATACCGACCGCCCTGAGGTTGTGGAAGGCCGCATGGGCGGTCCGGGCGTGGGAAGGGCGTGTGTTCGGGTCGGCCGGGACGTCGGCACTGCCTCAACGTGATAAGGGGGTGCGAGAAAGTAGCAGGACTGGCTCCATCGCGAGTCTGCCAGGCAATTCCCGGCACTCTTCGAAGGCGAACATTTCCGGGTCTCTGCCCTGACCGCCACAGGGTGAAAGCGTCCGGATACATCGCCCTCCCCGCGTCACTGCCGTCGCTTGAATATGGCCGAAAAGGCCCGAATCAAGGGGATGGTGGAGTCGCTAGCGGCGGCGGAGATGTCCACCATGTGCCGCTGTCAATATATTGGATACTATGAGGCTCAGAACGGGGGTCTTTGCGGTGGAGAAGAGAAGTTCGTCACAGTGGGCAGTGAGAAATAAGGGATGAGGGCTCGGGCGGCATTGTCCTTGAGGTGATTGGCCTAGGTCCTTGGGCAGGTACCTGGATCCCTACCACTAGGTACTACCTAGTAGGTAGGTACTAAGTGCCTTCAAAGGTTTTCGGGAAGTGGGCAAAGGCAAAGAAAGGTGAAGGTCGTGCGTGGAGCGCCGGGATACAAGGTGAAGCGAGGATTCCTGCACGGCCTGAAGAAAATGGGGCTCAATAGATTGGTCAAGTCCCCACTGCGGCCCGACTCAGCACCAGCCTGGTCATTGGCCGGGGATGGCTGCCGTCCGTGAGGGGCCCCACCATGCCGTCACAAGCCCCCTCGAATCGCCCCGCAGCCGCGCTTGCCCTCCACTTGCCCTCCACTTGCCCTCCATGCTGCGGAGCGACGAGATCGATGGAGATGGAACTTCTAGCATCATTCTCGAGCTCATCTTTTCTTGTCCAACATCGCGGCCCCGACCTGCTACACCCCCCCTCTTCGCGCACACGTGGATCTTTGGCGGCATCACGGCGTCCCAAAGAGGCTCCAGATATGGCCAAGACCTGCTAGTGGATTATTGTTTGCTCCTTCGCTCCTTCATATCTGTTCTTTCCTCCACAACCATCCCTACCCCGAGATTCAGCTCGCTCCCCACCGGCAACGACAACGCCTGCCATCTATTTCGGGCTCAGGCACAGAGATCAGTCCACCTGCCCTGCCATCCCGTTTCTTTCGCTAGGTCAAGCGTTCAGGTCAAAATCGCCGCGGAGCCCGACTGGGCTTCCTAGTGTTGCCTATTTCCCCTCTTTGCGCCCGCGGCTCGCCCATCGACAAGGTCCGAGCGTGCGTCGGCCCCGAGTCGCCGTCTAATCCTGCCCTCGCCCTGATGGCTCCGCCAAGATATGCACGAAAACCCGTGCCTGTTTAGTCAGGGGCAACGCGGGATAGCGTAAAAAAAAAAAAGAGGGCCAAGAATAGCCCGATGTTGACTACATCCCGTGTCCTTCCTGCAAGCTGCTGCCGATGTGGCAGTGTTAGTTATGACGGGCCGACCGACAAAGCGCCGCACCGCATACCCCACACGAGAAAGGAACACGCCCACAATATCATGGGGCCAGTGCCAGACGGTGACGGGACCCGCGGAGTGTGATGAGGGATACTAGCAAGATGAGGATTTATCCCGCGTACGAGGTTTGGGCAACTAGACGACATTAAGCATAATACTATAACGAATCACGGTGAACGCGTGGCGGGCTGATAGGTTCGTCCTCGTTTTTTTTTCGCCCTCTTCTTCTTTTTGCCTCAAGTGTTCCTTTTGACCTGTCCAGGCTGTGATACCTGTGTATCATCGTCTTCATGATAGAGTATCACACGTTGGAGAATCCGTCCTGTAGCCGACCACCCCCGCTTCGAGTCCGCGGAGTGGGCTAATTCTTCATTGATTAGATTGTCATGATATGAGCACGGGCGGAGTGACTAGCGGGATACGCGCCACCCGTTCCAATATCTGATGGATGCCTGCACGCAAGTGGGTCGCAAAGTGCCTTGTGGGGAGAGCCCCACGAGAAAGGCGCGCCACCCCTTTCGAGTCAACGGCATAGGGGACGACACTAGGTCTGGTGGGCTCGTGGGATCTCGGAGGGGTCTGTGAGCCTTGGACCCTTCTCCTATGGACTTGCGGAAACACCATGCTAGCGATAGGGGAAGGGGTTCGCGACGGCACCGGCGAAGACGGACCCAGGCGGTGGTGAGGAGCCACGGCTGTTGCGCACGCGGCCATGCACGGGCGCTGGCCCTACCTCGCGATGGGGAATAGGTGAGCACCGGGCGATATATAAGGATGTGTTGACACGCCTCCAATGTTGTGAATGTTTCCTTTCCTCACCAGGCCTCGCATCATCTTTTGTGCTCCTGAATCCTCTACATTCTTTTCTTCTTTTTTGGCTCATCCCACAGCCAGACCAAAAACCCCCTCACCAGTCAACCAGCTGTTGTCTTCCAACATGGTTGCTCACCACTCTTTCATGCTACTCTCGCTCGCCGCCCTCGCGCTGGGCTCTCCTTTCGGGGAGCTCCAGCAGAGGGCCGAGCCCCGGATTCAGCAGCGGGCTGCATGCGCAGGAAACACCGCCACCACCCGCTCGAAGTGGTGCGATTTCGACATCAAGAGCGACTACTACACTGGCCAGCACCCCAACACTGGCGTCACCAGGGAGTTCTGGCTTGAGCTTACCGACAGCGTCAAGCTGGCGCCCGATGGCGTCCCCCGCTATGCTCAGGCCTTCAACGGCACCGTTCCTGGCCCGACTCTCGTGATGGACTGGGGCGACGACGTCGTTATCCATGTCACCAATAAGCTCACCCAGAGCATCAACGGTACCAGTGTCCACTGGCACGGTCTGCACCAGAAGGACACGGTCCTCAGCGACGGTGTCGTGTCCGTCACCCAGTGCCCCGCTGTTCCCGGCACGACCCAGACCTACAAGTTCAAGGCTACCAACTATGGCTCCTCGTGGTACCACTCTCACTTTGCGCTTCAGGCGTGGCAGGGCGTCTTCGGCGGCATCATCATCAACGGTCCCGCCAGCGCCAACTACGACGAGGACGTCGGCATGGTCGTGCTGAGCGACTGGGGCCACAAGACCCCCGACGAGCTCTGGCACCAGGCCGAGACGCAGGGCCCGCCCACGCTTGAGAACGCCCTGATCAACGGCATGAACGTCTACGGCGCCGAGGGCAACCAGACGGGCAAGCGCTGGGAGACCTCGTTCGAGTCGGGCAAGTCGTACCGCGTCCGCCTCGTCAACACGGCCATCGACACCCACTTCAAGTTCGGCATCGACAACCACACGCTGACCGTCATCGCCCTTGACTTCATCCCCGTCGAGCCGTACGAGGCCACCATGATCAACATCGGCATGGGCCAGCGCGTCGACGTCATCGTCAAGGCCGACCAGGCCGCCGTCGCCTCGGACTTTTGGATGCGCGCCATTCCCCAGAGCGCCTGCGGCACCATTCAGATGGCCAAGAACACCCGCGCCATCGTGCACTACGGCGCCAGCAAGGGCGTCCCCGCCACCACCGGCCACACCTACGTCGACGCGTGCGAGGACGAGCCGCTCGAGAAGCTCAAGCCCATTATCCGCATCGACGCTGAGGAGGCCACCTACCAGCAGCTGAAGATCGCGACCGCCGGCGTCAACGCCAAGAGCGTCTTCCGCTGGTACCTCAACTCGACCACCATGGAGCTCGACTGGTCCAAGCCGACCGTCAGCCAGCTGGCCAACAACGCCTCGGTCGCCTTCTCCAACAGCAACGCCGTCATGGAGCTGCCCGAGGCCGACAAGTGGGCCTACGTCATCATCCAGACCAACTTTGGCGTCGCCCATCCCGTCCACCTGCACGGCCACGACTACTCGGTCCTCGCCCAGGGCAGCGGCGCCTACCAGCCCGGCGTCACCAAGCTGATCACCACCAACCCCATGCGCCGCGACACGGCCATCCTGCCCGCCGCCGGCCACCTGGTCCTGGCTTTCAAGACCGACAACCCGGGCGCCTGGCTCATGCACTGCCACATCGGCTGGCACACGGCCCAGGGCTTCGCCATGCAGTTCGTCGAGCGCCGCAGCGAGATGTTCTCCAAGAACATCATCAACAACAACGACATCGAGGGCCTCTGCGAGCCCTGGAGGACACACGTCGGCAAGCACAACATCAAGCTCGAGGACTCGGGCATCTAAGCGCAAGCAAGCAAGCGATCGACCACCACCACCCCCCCAGATTGTGCAAACACCACACACAACAACATCAACACCACCAAAGCGTTCCCGGACGTCTCCCTCTCCTTTCCGTCCCCTTTTCCCTTTTGCCACCTTGGAATTAAGCTTTTTACGATACAAAATAGGGGTTTTGTTTTGTTGGATAGGTTTCCTTGTTTGTCCCTGCTTGTTTTGCTTTTTTGCTCTCCGTGTCTTGTTTGGACATGCCTTGGTATCACATGTTAGCGGTCTGCTAGTTGTTGTTAGTCCTCTGTCAACTTTTATGTTGAATGCCAATACATTTTTTCCCCTTTGACTCTTGCCAAGTCCCTTGGGTTGTGATTTCCTGAATTGACTTCCTAGTCGTCTCGACCCCTTTTTAGGGATCATGGTTACTCTCTCTGTCGTCGTAAGTATCCAGTCGCGATTGCCGATACAGGACCCAGGGATCACAAACCCTAGCACGGTGAATCCTGGTGGTACATCAGTTTGGCTTGGTTTTCTGGGGAAGAAAATGTATCTTGCATCCACCGCACTAAGGTTGATCCCTGGGACCTATATGCGACGGTGGCAAATGCCACCCAAAGACAGGGGGGACAGAAGTGCCGTTTGGCGACATGGACCCATGTTCTGTCGCGTTTGATCTTCCAGCATGGAAAATAAAATGTCCGTGCCAAGGCTGCCGACCCGGGTCGTCGGGATGGGACCGACCTGAATCCAACGACCCCCACTGAAAAGGAACAGAAAAAAAACAAAAACCCACATGCACGATCCTGGTCATGTCCACAGGGCGAGTCCACTGGAGGAAGGGGACACAGGGGACCACCAGGATCCGGGATCGAAAATGACAATGAACCTCGCCGTGCGCAGCACCCAATCAAGGACATTGCAATTACTTTGTCTTAGCGTTCGACGACTTTTGCCCGTTTTGGTATCGTTCGACTCGGCGATCCCTCCCAGGGGGTGAGCCCACTGGCAATGGGGTTCGATGGAACCCTACGTAGGGGAAGATTGATAAAGAACAATAAGGAAAAAGAAGGTTAAGAAAAGAGGTTGTTTGCCCCCCCGTCCGCCCATCAGCGCACACGCCCAACCATGATTCCTGTCACCGCGGAAGCCAATCAAGCTTGAAAATACACATCGTTTGAGCCATAAGCTAAGGCGGCGCCAGAACAACATCTTGGAGGGAACAATAAAACAAGCCTAAAATGCCGCGACCGGTGCGGGCCGCGAGCACGCGCAATCTATCAATGGTGCCATGTCCTAGCCACTTCTTGCCTGTGCTTTTTTCTGTTCCTTCATCAACTGATAACAACCTTGGCTAATACGAATCGGCAGCATCTCTCCGAGTCCCCACCCCGTCTTACGCACGGGCAAATCAACATACTGGCAAGCGCAAGCGCAAGCGACCGAGCCACCCGGCTACTGACCGGTTTTTCACAGCCCAACCCACGCGGCCCGGGAGCCACACGACGGAAAGACACAATGGGCGTGTATTGTGTGTGTGCTGTGTGTGTGTGGGGCTCGCTTCCAACTAAGCCTCTTCTCATACGACCTCAAATAACGAGCAGTGTTAGTGCACAGTGACGTACAGTGGCGCTTCGTTTTTGGCTGTTTGCGGGCCGGTGTGGACTCGTTCGCTTGCGCACCTTGGCGCAGCACCTCTCAGCTCGACCCCCCACGTACAAGTCCCTAGGATATTGAACGTTACGACGCGCAGATCCTTCCTAATTAGGCCGCGTCCAGTCTACATTTTTTCCCATAGAAAATCCCGCCAGATCGATGTACCGCTACCCGCACCTCCATTTGCCAGAACCCACTAGAATCGTCCCAAGCTGTTAGTTCAATACGTTGATTCCTACTACAAATTGTGCGTTGAGATATGTACCCCTACCCCTTTGCTAATACCCTGGTCGACACCCCTTGTTAGACTCACAGCGTAACGTTTAATATCCTAGGGACTTGTACAGGTGTCCAGGATCACAAACACTAGTGCGGTGGATCTTGGTGGTACATCAGTTTGGCTTGGTTTTCTAAGGAAGAAAATGTATCTTGCTCCACCGCACTAGTGTTTGTGATCCTGGACACCTATACATAGCTGGGGGGCTCCGGATCCCCTTCGCCTATGCAGCTTCTGATAATTTGCAAGGCGGGCGTCCTATCATATCCATCTGCCGCCCATGCTGCGTACACGTGATACTCTGACGGGAATGCCGATCGTGGGCAGACTCCGACTCCCCTGTCTCAGTCGCGCGACACCCGACGCTCAAAACATCCACATTCCACAACATGCCGCTTGCTCCTGCGCTCCTGCAGGATCGACCGTGGCGGTGACGATCCCGATGAGTTCGTTACGGCCCGCACATCGAGCTCGTCCGAGCATCTCGCCGAGGCCTCATTTCATTCGCGCCGAGCACGAACGAGTCCATCTTGGTCTCGGTGGGCACACCTCACTGACCTGGGCAAGCAGCCCAGCCTTCCACTCACACACGCCTCCCTCCCATAGAGGTCAGCCGCCCTCTTCCACGCCATGGCGTGGTCATGAACTTTTGTCTCTTTTGCCCGTGGTTCCCCACTTGACCCTTTGCTCCTGCTTCTTACCGCCTCCCGCCACGGCGCCCCAGGTGTTGTATTTGCCGCCTGCAAGCGTCGGTGGGGGGGCCGAGAACACCGAGGTGGAAGATGTGCCACTTTTATCGACCATCTCCTTTTCGTGCGGCTGCAGGACGCATCGGGCGCGGTTAGGCGCGAGTTCGGCTGCTTGACGGTGATGCCACGGGTGGCAGTGATATGCTTGGCCTGCTGGCGAGGGCGAGTTGGAATGCGGAACTTCTCCCTTGGCGGGAGTGGGTGTGTTGTCTCTGGCGCCCGGCGCGTGGCGGTCGGTTCTGCTCCACGCTTGATCCATCAGCGAGCGTCCTGGCTCTCGTATAGTGTTGTCAAGACGGCGGCCTAATACTTTCTGTATTATAGAGTTCCCTACTTTAAGCAACGCGTGGAGAACATGTGCTGGCGCGCGTGTGAAGGCTCATCATCGATAACCCTAGCCGTGCAAGAAGTCGCGTGGCCCGCTCTCGCACTGTCCAGCCAGAAAGGTGACTTTCCTCCTCGTGGGGGAGGGCTTTATAAGGTTGGTCTGTCCTGTCAGTTCCCAATCCCGGGACAGTGGGCGGTTGGCTAAAGGCCGCGGGCCTTTAGCTATCGCCCATGGTCCCGGGGGGAGCCCCGGGTTCGAGCCTGGCTGGGTCCGCGGACCCTACACCAGGCTTGGACCCCGCGCTCCCTTGACATTCTTTTTTTTTTTTCGTTCTGTCCTTTTGTCTTTTTCCTTTGCCCGGCTTCTCTTGCATATCTTCTTCCCGCGTGTATGTGTTTCTGCTATTTACTTACAGCCTCGAGTTGTTCCTTGCACGTACAGGATTACGGGTGCGGGAAAACGTCTTGTGCGCTAATTACTGCACTTAAAGTGGCGGTTGGCGTTATTATTAAACCCCTCCGGCCTACACATGCATTCCTTAATCTGCATAATCATGTTCTGCATATTCTCTCTTCCTACTTAAATCTGGACTGCTCGAGCATAATCCTGGGTCCCCTTAGAATAAGACTATAATTAGCCGCAATAATTACACCAAAGGCCAAAGGTGAAGCACGTTACTGCCATCCCATAATTATGCCCAGCTGCACTTATCACCAAAAAGTAAATTTCAAGTTTCTCTCACTTTTAACTCAGCTCTTCTTCACATTAAATCGTTGTTTTCAACAGCTTTCTGCAAAACTCGCACTTTCATTAGGAGCATTCAGTTCCCTAGAAAGAAACGGTACATAGATTTTATAGCCAGTTTTACTCATGGAAGTGCCGTCCGACTGCTTGATTTCAAAACCCCAATCCCCACTATTTGCAGTGTGCCCTCCAGACCGTCGGGCGGTCAAACGCTCTCAAGTCGGGCGACAGCAAGCAGGCAGCCCTTTAGCGTCTGGCCCCATCCGCTCATCACGGTTTGACGCGTCTTCCCAGGCCTCGACGCAACCCGACGCGGACCTGGTCGTCCTTAGGACTGAAAACAACCACGTCATTTCTAACCCGTGACTCCTCGATGGACTGGAGGCTTGCTTCCGGAAGAGCTGTGACTGGCCGGCTCTGTATGCACCTCGGATGCAGTCCCACAGATTCTTGATGTCGTTGTTTCCTGGGGGCTCTTGATTGGCTGATCTGTTCAGACCCCCGCCATCTCTTCTCTTCAGGTCTATTCAGATCTACCGAGTGACCTGCCTACCAGGCGCAGATTTTCCTCATTGGCTCCTGCCTCCAGGCGGCCGTTTCGCGCCAGATACGCCTTGACTGATTTGCGGCAAGATCTGGAGTTGGCCGCGGGTATATAAACCCCCTCTCCCCAATCTGCCCAGCCCACTTCTTTCCTTCTTTCTTCCTTCACCATTAGCGGCCGCAACAACAACAACAACAACATGCGCAAACCCAGACCAGCACAGCCGGGAGTTGGGTCACTGCATTTCCATAGCTCATTTCACTTGCTTCCTCCTCTTAGCTTACCACTTCCACTTGCTTGCACCTAGACTGCTAGTGTCTCTTCGTGCTCGCTTAGCTTGGGAGATATCGAACACCAGGGTCGGCCTGCATCCCACCGTCCCACATGGGAAAGAGCTGGCGCAGCAATGCCCACATCGGATTCCAAATCACTTTGCCTCGCATTTGCCTCGTATCTTCCACTTGCCAGCAGGGAAGCTGCCAGTGTCTCTGACTGCCGTACATAGACCGAACACCAAGATCTGTTCATTTGCTCCACCATCCCGCATGTGAGAGCGCTGTGCAGCCAGCGTCTACATTGGATCCTTTGAGTACATGTGAGTACTTTTTTGTGTGGACACCATAGATGCAGGACACATAACAAGGGGGGAAGTACGTGCAATGGTAAAAGTAGAAATGGGTGGCTCAGAATAGACAATAACACGTCGAGGCTGGACATGGTGTTACAAGGGGATCAATGATCGGCTTGGAGGGTGGTTAATATATTGATAATCTTTTAAGGCCTTTAGGAGATGCTTGGTGGAGCAGAATCTCTTGGGAAGTCCTTGAGAGAAAGGCCTTTTTTATATAGGCTGTTAAGGAGATGGGATAAGGACAGGGAGAGAGGTACGTATCCCGCCTGGGGTACGTACCTTTCCTGGTCGGGTACATTTCCCGCTAAAAAAGGGGTTTTTTTTTCGACCGGGCGTGTAATACATGTGTGGTTTTTGCGACCTTTTTTATCCGATCCAACCAACGTGTTGGTTTTAATTTTTGGCTTGTAATTGGCTTTGTTGGCTTATCCAATCGGCCTTTAGTTGGCATTGGTTTAATCCCCGTATAATACAATTTTCCTTTTCCCAAAGGCACGCTTCGGGCCTTTTAAACGCGGGGGTCGCGGGGTTTTCGGGGATATTGCCGGTAAAAGTTTTTAATTTTCTCCTTGGCAGCTTTTTTTTTAAAATTTTCCTAGGGTTTTTACGTTATTTCCCCTTTTTTGTTAAAGCCCAACCATTTAATAAGGTATTGTACGGTTTTTTTTATTTAACGTAAATTTTTAACTTTTTTAATTTTAAATACGTTTAATAATAAGGGCGCGTTCCGCAGGACCTGGTCTGGGTCGGGCCAAACTTGGATGCTAGTACGGTAAGGCTTAATAAACAAAGCGTAAAATGTTGGGTGGATTTTTTACGTAAGGGGTAGTGCGAGCCGTACGGCCAAAGGAAAAATGACTTGGGTAATTTGGAAAGGTTTAAAAAGTTTGGAGTTAAGCTTTTTTACGGGTTGCCGGATTTTAATGTTTTTGGCGTTAAGTATAACGTATTGTCCTTTAGTAAAAACGGGCAGGGCTTGTCGTTTTTTATTTGCTTATTTTTTTATTCGTTCCCGAGCGGCGTTAAAGTGCTATTTGGCCTTGTTGTGGACGCCGTGCATCCAATGCGTATAAAATTTGTTGGTTGGATAGGGCTTAATGCGCTTTGGTTTTGGGGGATTGTAGGCGGCTGGTTTAAACCCGTAATTAGCGTAAAAGGGGGATACGGAAGTATTTGCTAAAAACGTATTGTTGTAAGCAAATTCGGCCATAGGCAATAAATTTACCCAATTTAACATTTTATAATTAATAAAGGACCGGAAGTAAGCTTTTAGGTTTTGGTTAAGCCTTTTTATTTACTTATCCGTTTGTAGATAAAATGCAATATTTATTCGGGGCTTAATGCTTATAAGGTTAAGGAAATCCTGCTATAAGTGCGCGGTAAACCGGGAGTTTCGGTTTAAAATAATGTTTAATAATACCCCGTAAAGTTTCCAGTATTTCCGGGCAAAAATGCGGATAAGGTCGTTCGTTTTTTTTGTCCTTTTTTTAAAAAGATAAAATGGTTTATTTTGGTAAACGGGTTTACTATAATCCAAATGGAATTACAGTTTTGGCTGTTAAAGAAATTCGTAATAAAGTTTATGGCTACAATGTTCCATGGCCGGTAATGCAATTTTATAGGTTGGAATAGCCCAAAAGGCGCATGCTTGGGGGCCTTGTTGCGTTAACATTCCAGGCAACTTTTTACGTAGTTTCGAACGTTCCTTTCAATTCCCGGCCACCAAAAGTAACGGGTAATTAGTTTAAAGGTTTTATCCATCCTTATATGTCCGGCGATTTTGGTATTATGCTCGGATTCCAGGATTTCGCGCTTAAGTTTTAGTTGCGCGGAAATCCATAGTTTGTAACGGTGGTATAAAAGTCCGTTATTAACTTTTTCCTTTTTGTAGGGAGCTTTTAAATGCTTTTAGTACTTAGTATTAAAAGAGGCGATTTGTTTAATTTTGTTTGTAAATGCAAGGTTTTAGCGTATGGTTGGAATGTTGCAAAGTTTTGCTAACGAAAGGAAGAAAGAAGGTGCTTGTAAGGTAAAATTAAAATGTTTTTTTTGTAAAATCGTTGTAATTGGCTGGTTTTTACTTTTCCTTTTTTTAGGTTTGTATTGCTTTAGTTTGGAAAGGATATTGGCCTTTTCGTTTTATTTGCTTGGTTGGTATGTAATTAAAAACCAATAGCTAAAAAGTTGTTGTGCCCATTTCGCTTGCTTTTGGTTAAGGATTTTGGCCGTAGTAAAGTAAGCAAGGTTTTGGTGGTTCGTAAAAATTTTAATTCGTTGCTATGCTTTTTCGAAGTAATGCTTTTATCGGCCAAAGCTATTTACGATTGCAAATAGCTTTTTGTTGTAAATTTTGTAATTAATTTTAGCCGGGGTTATTTTCCGGGAATGGAAAGCCATTAGGTAAAGCTTGCCGTTAATTGGGTCCCGTTAAAATAATATAACGGTTAAAGCGAAATTAAACGCGTTAGTTTTAATAATTGCCGGTTAAATGGGGTCGAAATGTTGCAATATGGGGGGCGAGGTAAACGTTTGTTTAAAAGCATTAAAGGCTGTTTGTATTTTTGCGGTTTAGGACCAATCCTTTTTTGCAAGGGCATTGGTTATTGTTAAAGGTTTAACGATTTTGGAAAATCCCGCGATGAATTGTTGGTAAAAGTTGGTAAAGCCGATTACCGATTGGCATTCCCGCAATTGCCGGGGTGCTTTTTAATTAAAGATGGTTTCGATTTTGTTTTGTAACATTCGGATTTTTTCTTGGTTAATAATATGTCCTAAAAATTTAACTTTTTGGACCCCCCAAACGCATTTGCGAGGGGCGACCGCGAGGTTGTAATGGGTTAAGCGTTTTAATACCTTTTTAACGAAATCGTCGTGCTTTTCTTTTGTTTTTGCGTAAATAAGGAAATCGTTTAGGTAAACGAAAAGGCCGGCGTTAATAAAGTTTATAAATATGTGGTTTATTATTTTTTAAAAAGTTGCCGGTGCGTTAATAAGGTTTATAAGCATAACGGTAAATTCGAATAGGCCATATTTGTACCGGAATGCTATTTTTTATTCGTGTTTTGGCTTTATGCGGATTAAATGGAAGCCCGTTTTAAGGTTAATTTTGGTTATCCATTTGGCGTTGCGGAATTGGTTTTGTAATTTCGTAATTAAAAGGATTGGGCATCGTTCCGGGATAATTTTGGAATTAACGTTTCGGTAATTAATTATTGGTTGTAAAGGGTTTTTAGGGTTTTTTTTTCGGCGAATATAAAGGGTGCGCCAACCGCGCCTTTACCTTTATACAATTGGCTTGCTTCCAGGTTCTTTATAAGCTAGGGTTTTAATACGTTAAGCTTTCGTTCGTTAAGGTTGTAAATAAGTTTTTAACCAAATGTTGCTCCTTTTTTTAAATGGATTTCGTAATTCCAGGGCTAATGGTTGGGTAAGCGCATTATTGCTTTTGGGAATATAATAAAAAGGAATTCGCGGAACTTTTTAAAAACCCTATCGAATTTATTGGCCGTACCGTTTAATATAGGGGTTGGTTTTGTTATTTTTTTAACCAAAACGATTGTAGCAAAGTCCGTGGTAAAAATGTTTGTTAAATTTCGTGGGTTAATAACCCCGCGAAATTTAGGTTTGCGATAAAATTTGCATTTGTTAGTGTTAAAGCGGATATCGTTATGGTTTCGTTTAAAAATTTCGGTTGGGTAATGTCGTATTATCCATTGGACGGGAAAAAATACGTTGCAATCTAGGTCCAAATTTAACATATCGAGGTTTACGCAAAACCGGTGGTTGTAATGTTGTAGGATAATTTGGGGTAGGTAATATGTTAAGGGGTTTTTTTTATATCTAGTAAAATTGGATATAACCCGCGGAATTGTGCGTTTAACAATATGTAATTGTAATTCCGCGGCTAGCTAAAAGGAAATAAAGTAACCGTTGTTGCTTTTGCAATCCAAAAGGATTTGGATTGTTCTTTTTTCCTGGCTTTTAATGCGCAAAGCCATATTAATTATGGGTTTCGTAATTACCCGGAACGAGCCTGTAAATTTGGTTTGTAGGAAGGCGCAAATGGCGATCTGGATTGCGTTATTCGTTTCCTATCGTTTTTTGGGTAATATTATTAAAACCCCGGGTTTTTAACAATCCGAATTTGTATTAACCTTTTTAAAAAAGCAATTGTAAATGGGCTTAGGGTCGTAAACGGCGAGCTTTACGATTTTAACTTTTTTGGCGGGCTTTTTTTGGTCTTCCTTTTTTAGCTTTTAGGATTTGTTTGCGGGCTTTTTGGCCCCGGCCGCGGTTTTTGCCGAAGCCGGGGGAAGGTTTTTGCTTTTAATATTTTTTTTGGCAAAACAATCTCGGGTATAATAATTGTTTTTTCCGTAGCGCTAGCAATTAATGCCTTTTTTTTTTTAGCATTAATGTTTTTTTGGTTAATGCTATTAAAGGCGGCCCGAATGGTGGACCAAATGTTGTTTTTTTTGGTTTGTACAGGAATTGCCTGGCCTTTATTTGCTGCGGTGCGGGAGTTTAAGGATTGGCCGTAGGGGCCTTTGGAACTTTTGTCGCGGGGACGGCCCGCGTTCAAACGCTTTAAAGTCGAAGCGGGCTCGTTTTTTTCCTTTTTTTTGGGCCTTCGGTTTTTTTTTTGGAGCTTTCGGAAGGTGTTTTTATTCGTTATTATAAATTCGTAAGTAATGCCGGTTTGTTGGAATAATTTTAGGAATTTTTCGTTTACGTTAAGGATTTGCCTTTTATTGGCAAAAACGAAACGGTTTATTTTTTTAAAGAGCTTTTTTTTAACAAAGTTTTTAAAGCGCGTTCCGGTAAATTTAACGGTAGCGTTAAGTTAAATTAATTTTATAAAAAACCCAATAATGTTATTTTTGTATTTAAAAGCGTTTAGCTTTATGGAGTTCGTTCGTTTTTTATTGGGGTTTCGGAATTGCGTAATTAAAAACCTTAAATAAGCTTTCCAAAAATTAAGTAATTTATAAGCTTCGAACATTTTGGCTTTGCTTACGTAAACCTTTAATGCTGCCTTTTTAAGGTAAGAACCGACCCAGGAAATTTTGTGGTCGTTGCTAGTAAATGTTTGGGGAACGGCCTTTATGTAAGCCCGGACCATATACTACCAATTTTTAAAATTTGTCCTTTTGCCGTTAAAAGTGGGCGGAGCTTTAAACGAAACGGAATTTACCATAAAAATGGCGCTATGTCGTTGAAAGGGGTTTTTACCCGCGGGTAATAAGTTGGCCCGGGGACGTTGCGGCGGTTTAGGAGGTTATCGTAGTCCGTTCCCGTTTAAATCCGAAAAGGAAAGGTTGTTGCTGGGTGGGGCCGGCGGTCGGTAAAAGGATACCCTTTTTGGGGGAATTTTGTTGGTTATTCCTAACATTTGGAAATAAAAGCTTTTTCGGGCTTGTCGATATATTGCCGCTATAATGCCCGCGGGGTTTTTTCGCATCGTTTATCGGTGCATGGAGCTAATTTGTTTTAAAGCAAAGGGCGCAAAGTTCGGGATTGGGTTGGCTCCCGTTATAGTGGGATCGGTCCGGAAGGCGAAGGATTTGGAATAAGTTATTTTGGTAAAAAAAACGGGGATTAGGGTTGTACCGTACGTTGCCGGTGTAATTTGGCGGGACGCTTGTCGGGAGGCGATTTGGGACAAAATGGTGGCAGCGTCCATTTGCTTGCTTTTAACCATCCGTTTATTAACTTCGGCGATAATGTTTTTGGTAAAGGCTTGTTATTATTTTAGGGTGGTTAAGGGGTAAGCGTTAATTATTTTTTATTGTTTTTTTATATGGTTTAATTGTTATTCGGTGCTAAATACCCGGTGCTCGGTATGGCCGGCCCATTGTTTAATTAAGCCAATGGTATGGGCAAAGCGGTAATGCATTTTTTTAATCGCTTATTGGTAAGTTTTATATGCCTTTTTCATTTTGTTATAAGCATGGTTGCGGATAAAGCTATTGCTAACAATTTTTGCGATAACGTTTTAAATTTTGGCCGCGAATTAATTGCTTTTTTTAATTATTTTTTTTTTAAAAGATCGTGCTTAATTTTTTAAAATGGTTAAGCCGTTTTAAACGATTTAGAAAACCGTTATGTAATTTTGGCGCGTAAAGTTGTATTGTTGGCGTAATTTCGCCATTTGGGATTGTACCAATTCGGGTATTTGCGTTAGGTCCCGCACTTTATTGCGAAAGGCAAGCATTGCTTAGTAAAGTATTTAGAAACCGCTATGAATTTCCGCTATTTATTGGGAGTATGCTGGATCGTTTGGGATTTTGGGCTGGTAATTGGCTTTTTAAAGGATGGGCAAAAATTATTTTTCCCCGTTGCTTTGCCATAATTTATTAAAGGTTGGGGCTATGTACAAAACGATGGTTTCGGTATTTGGGTCGAGCATAAGGGTATTTTGCTTAATTTGTATTTTGTTTGGGGCGCGGTTGTAAAATAATTGGGATTTTTAAGGGTTAGTAATGGTTCCCGGCGCGTTAATCCCGGGGGAAGCCGTATTGTTGTTATTGGCGGTTTGCGGGGTGCTTTCGGGAGGTTGGAACGAAGCCCGGCCCCGGGGCTTGGGCGTTTGTTCGCCGTTGGTTATAATTGCGTCCAATAAAAAGGGTTTAATGGAAGTGCGTTGGCTTTTGTCGTACGTAAGCAAGGGTTTTGGTAAGGTAATGCGGGAAATTTGCCGGGAATGGTTTTAATAAAGCTCGATTATTACGTTAAAGTTATGTTTTAAAACGGCGATGGCGTTGCTTTGTTGTTGGATTTTTTCGGAATTGCTTGTAATTTTTTTGCGAAAGGCTTCGTAGCGTTTTTTAATATTGTCGAAGGGCTTTGTGTTTTTGGTATTGGTTTTTATAGCGTAAGCCAAAAGCAAAAGTTGGTTAAGCTTTTGTTTAAAAAGGTCGTGCTCCCGTTTTTGCTAAGCGAGGTATAACCGAATTCTTTTAATTGTTTCGTTTTGTTTTTTTTGTAAAATAGCGAGCTATTTTTTGGTGGTTTTTTTTCGGGCTTGGATTTGTTGCAAAAAGTTAGCGAGGTTTTTTTGGGTGGATTCGATTTGTTGGGCGAGGCTATTAAGGGCTTGGTTCGTTTCGTAGCGAAAGCGCTTTTCGATAGCGCTAACCCGTCGTGCAATAAATCCTTTGTAAATCGTTCGCTTAGCTTTGCTATTTTTAAAAAGCTAAAAGGTAGCTTTGTATTGCTAGCTTGTTTGGGTAAGGATAAAACGCGTAAAATTGCGCGCGTGGTCCAGGTTTTCGGTTAGGACGTCGATTCGGGCCGTTAGGTTTTGTCGGAAATTTTTTTAATACTTTTTTATTTGCGCAAATTGGTTTTTGCCGATAATTGCGAGCTTTGTAGCTGTTAATAAGGTTATTTGGTACGGGTTAATTAACCCGGAAAGCGCTTGTGGCCTTTTAAAAGCAAGGGTGGTTTTGTTGCTTAAAGCAACGAGCAAATTAAAAGATTTATCGATTGCTTTATTAACGAAAGCAGGCGGTTGCGGGGTAACCGATTGCGGGGGTTTGTTGGGGTCCGTTGTAACGGTAACCGACGCTAAAGTTGGTTTTTAACGCAATTGTTGGTTGCGTTCGGTCTTTGTAAAATAATAAGTGCAAGCTTGCGATTTTTCGAAAGCGGGACGGGCACAATACCAATACCGGAAAAGGGAAATATTTGTTTCGACGAAACTTTTTTCGTTTACAAAGGCAAATTTCGGTTTGCCGGTTTGGTTATTTGCCCAAAAGCGTAAAATTGCGGCAACGCTATTAAAGATTTGCGCGATAAAAAAGGGAATCGAACTTATAAGGGCAAGTAAATGCTTAGGAATAATTTAAATTGGCAATACCTTTTTTTGATAAAGGTATAAGTGCAATTAAAGCAATCCCGGAAAAATAAGAAATTATTTGTTACAAGGGGATTAATAATCGGCTTGGAGGGTGGTTAATATATTAATAATTTTTTAAGGCCTTTAAAAAATGCTTGGTGGAGCAAAATCTTTTAGGAAGTCCTTAAAAAAAAGGCTTTTTTTATATAGGCTATTAAGGAAATGGGATAAGGATAGGGAGAAAAGTACGTATCCCGCTTGGGGTACGTACCTTTCCTGGTTGGGTACATTTCCCGCCAAAAAAGGGGTTTTCCTTTCGACCGGGCGTGTAATACATGTATGGTCTTTGCGACCTTCCCTATCCGATCCAACCAACGTGTTGGCCTTAATCCTCGGCCTGTAACTGGCTTTGTTGGCCCATCCAATCGGCCTTTAGTCGGCACTGGTTCAATCCCCGTGTGACACATGGTTTGTTTTGATTTTGCAATGACTCAACGTTCCTCCACCGTTCTACAGAGTCTACCCTCTGCGTCCTCCTCGAACATCTCGCTCCCAACCCCAGTAACAGCATAGAGAATTCCCTCCGGGTCGTACTTGCGCTTGACGCGGAGCAGCCGCTCGTAGTTGGCGCCGTAGAAGTGCTCTTGGAAGTTCCGCTGCTGGAAATTGGCCTCGTTGAGGTACGTGCCGGAACCGGGGGTGGCGGCCTCGAGCATCGGGGTGAAAACGTCAGCGAGCTGCCTCTGCTTGGCCTCCATCCTGGCCCGCGCGACCGCCAGCCCCTCGGCGTCGCCCCCGCCGCCGTAGTCCCACGGCCCGACGACGATGCAGTGCGTGGCTGCGTCTCGCCATGCCGGTAGGACTGCATTATCGGCGACCCTGGGCAGGAACGAGTCGCCGCCGCCGCTCACGTCGAGCGCCTGGCACGCGACGAAAAAGTCACCCGCGGCGGCGGCGGCGGTCACGTTGCGCAGCGCGCCCGTCACGGCGGGGCCGCCCACCACCGCGCGCGGGATCAGGCGGCTGCCCGTGACCTGGCCGGTGCTGAAGAGGCCGTAGGGCAGCGGGCCGAGGTCCCGGGCAAAGTGCGCCAGGAAGCCGGGCGACTGGTGAGCCTCAAAGGCGAACGGGACGCCGCGCCGCTCCAGCTCGGGCAGCAGCGTCGCGCGCAGCAGGGCCGCGACCTGCGCGCCGTCGCGGTCCGTGGCCGTCAGGCTGAAGAGGTTGAAGGTGCGGTCGGTGATGGAGTACAGCGCCGACACGCCCCGGGCCAGCAGGGGCGGGAGGGCGGCGTGGACGGCCCCGACGGCGTCCCAGAAGACGTCATTTCTGCTACTGCTGCTGCTGCTGTTGCTACTGTTCCTGTCGCCGTTAATGCTGTCGCCGTCGAGGATGCCCGAGTCGTCAAACCACAGCGTCGCGCCGCCGACGGGCCCGTCGCGGTGCAGGCGCGCCGTCATGCCCAGCACGACGGCGAAGGTGCCGCCACCGCCGCCGCTCAGGGCCCAGTAGAGGTCGGCGTGGGGGCCGTCGGGCGTGGCCACGACGCGCTCGCCGGTCGCGGGCAAGACGGCCTCCCAGGCCAGCACGTTGTCGGCGGCCAGGCCGTAGGCGCTGCTGAGGGTCGAGTGGCCGCCGCCCTGCGAGTAGCCGCCCGCGACGCCGACGGTGGCGCAGGTGCCGCCGACGACGCGGTAGCCGCGCTCGTGGGCCGCCAGGTAGGCCTCAACCGCGAGCACGCCGGCGCCCAGTTTGATGGCGGGGCCGGTGTAGTAGGGGCTGGAGTAGTTGTCCATGACCTCTATTGCCTTGAGGTTCTGCGTCCACAGTGAGAGGCTGCCCTTTCCCGTGGACTTGCCCAGGTAACTCAGTGTGGTTAAGTACGTTAGTCCCACACGCGTCCATGCAAAGCAGCACCTGAAAGGTGGCCAACACGATATCTTGGCACATACTCGTGGCCTGTATTCTTGATACTCAGACGAACGTCATTCTCTCGCGCAAATCGGATCCCCGCTACAACATCCTCCTCTCTAGTCACGTTGATCGAGTAGCTCGCGTAGTTCCCCAGCTCGCAAGGCTGCGTCACTGGCATGTAAGGGTCGCACGACCCATTTTGGACCCAAGGGAAACCAACCTCGGCTGGGAAGGGGAAGCTGCGAGGATATTAAGCGCCTTGTTAGAAGATGGAAACCAGATGATAGTCTAGTAAGCTAGGCGCGACATACTGGGCAATTGGGAAGTTCCAGAATGTCTTGAGCCACTGGCACGCCGTTGCGTTGAAGCGGCCATCAAACACACCACCGGTGTGACACACACTCGCGGCGGGCACGGTGGCGGTGAGCCTCCCACCTACCGTTTCATTGAGCGTTCTCCATGCATAATCGGCTGGCCATGTTGCGTCGCCAGGGATAGATTTACACCGTTCTGCGGTGCCCGCCCATGAAAATGCAAAAAGCGCTAGCAAAGGAAGGCTGCGGCGATCCATTATGTTGAGCGAGAGCACTCGAGATCGAGGGCACGACAAAGGAGAAGACAGAAAAGGCAGAGGCTTGTTAGCCGGGAAAGGTATTTGCGCTGGGAACCTACGGCCTCCTCTGGGATTGATGTTCGGATTCCCTCCGCGGGCGGTTTTAGCCGGAGCCGCACCGCCAGGCATAGGACTCTTGATAATTGCCTATTGTCGTAACAATCTCAGATCCGGCAGTAGTCGCCCGCCCATAGCGTCTAAACAGCAACTTATTCTCATACGAATATGAAAAGTCCGACAGGTGACGCACAGGAACCAGGCCATCAAATTCTCCACAGCTAATTGGCAACAGCTACCTAGTAAATACTGATGGGTGCCGCCTCCAGTCTCTCGTACTTCTTATCAGCCAGCTCCAGCGTCTTGTCGATTAGAGCCGCCATCTCTTCGCGGCCTTTGTCGTCCAGCTTTGGAAACTTGTAGAACCCCATCATGACCTTCCTCGCGTCCATCGGGCCGCGGTGCGTCCCCCCTCGCCGCATCGCCTCCACGGCTTCGTTCTCCATGATGCCGTCCACGTAGCACTCCCCAACGAGCGTGAACCCGTCGGTCCCCGCGTCCCCGCCGCCGAGAGAGCGCGGCCGGAGGACAAAGGGCATGATGGCGCCGCCCAGCACGCAGACCGAGTCCCCGGCCCAGACAGCCCTCGAGCAGAGCCCGAGGTGCCCGCCCGAGGTGACGAAGAGGCTGCGGCCGCGGCACACGGCGTCGCTAAGCTGCTCGAACGCCCGCGCGTCCCCCTCCTCCGGCCCCAGCTGGGATTGCCGCTTCTTCCACAATGCGCGGGACGCCTCGTCGCCGTCGTCGGGGCTCGCCAGCATGTAGGCAACGAGATGCCGCGCGAGCGCGGCCCCGCCATCCTTGACCTTGCTGCCGTATGCGGTCCGGCCGGCGCACAGCGTCCGCGCCAGGAAGCCGACACGGTCGAGCCCGGGATCATCTTCCTCGCCAGCGCAAAAGAGGCTCCCAAACATCATTTTCCGCACCCATTGGCCAACGTCGTCGATGCTTTGGCCGCACCACACAATTGTGGACAGTTCCATCCCACGGACCTGGAGGCAGTCGGGTGACGCCGTCTCGTATCGCTGGAAGGGCAGGGCCCCCTCGGGCTGCGAGTCGTCTCCTATGGTCCAGTGGCCGAGCATCCCAGTCTCGCGATCTTTCCACCTGGGCACCCAGGACGGACATGGCCCTGCTGCCGCCGGACCCTGCATGTTGAATTTCCTGAGCCTCCAGGACCTCTTGTATCTCTTGGTCCAGTTGTCGCCGGCGTCTGACAGAAACTTGAGCGGCAGCTTGGCGTCTCTCGACTCCAGCCACCTCTCTGCGACAAACCTGCACAGCTGAACCTCGTCCATGCTGTAGTCTGGCGTGATAAAGGAGCTATTTCCCGACAAATTCTCCTGTGTCGCTATTCCGAGAAGGGCGAAGAACTGGTCCACGGGTTTGGAGCTTTCAAAGCCCCTCGTGAGCCGTAGGAGGTGCAGGAAAGAGGGCCGAAACGGCATGCCATCTGGTGAGCCGTGACGCGAGAGCCGGAAAATGAGGTATGCCCCATAAATGCCGGCGAAGCGGCTGTGGCGGAAGTAGCGCTCGCCAGTATTTAGCAGGGAAGCCTCCTGCGTCCGGAGAATGGCGGCGCAGAGACCTACCCAATGCCAGGCGATGCGGCATCTGCCCCAGACCACATCGGCCGACTGCGAGCGGACGACCTCTTGTATCACCCAGCGGCGGGAAAACCATGGGTTGGTGAAAAGCTTCATCAGCTGCTGCAAATCCTTCTCGGTCAGGCTTCCCACGGCGCTGGCCGAGTCCATCCCGCAGGCCAGGGCGCTCGAGCCGGTGGTTTCGCCGTGGACCTCGTAGCTCGCCGGAAGCTGGTCGTCCCAGGCCCGTACGATGCCGCAGACCAGATCAAACGCCTCCCGTGCACCTTCGTCTTTGGATCCCAGCCAGACAAGGGTGCGTGCGGCGGCGCTGTATATCTGACCCATCATGGCAACCTGCATGGCACGCTCGCCGTCGTCATCCTGGTTAATGCAGAACGCGTCTGCCCACAGGATGCAGGGCTCATCGCTGCGCCTGAGGTAGTAGAGAGCCTCCCAGATGTTTGCCTTGACCTCGATGTCCACGCCGTTGCAAAAGACATGGCTGTGGATGCCTTTGACGTGGTCCCCGAGGCCGTCCGCACCCGAGACCCCCCACCAGTCCCATACGTAGGACAGCGCGTCGTATCTCAGCTCCTTGGCGCGGCTGATCGGGACGGGAACGAGCCGGCAGGTGACGGGGTCGTCCGCAGCGCCCGGTTCGACGATCAGGAGACGAAACCAGGAACTGTCTGGGAGAGGGGAGTAGACCTCTGGCATGCTCGGCAGCGCTGCTTGCTCGAGTAGGTCGGCCAAGAGCGTTTTCTTATTGCCAAAAGAGGAGGTCAATCCGTTTTGACTCTCTGTGGGCAGTGCAGACAGGATATCTTCTTGACCAGGCAGATCTGGCTGCATGGGAGGATAGAGGTACTCCCACGGCGCAGCTTTCTGGACCTGATACCAGCCGTGCTTGCGGGCGAAAACGAGCTCTAATAATGCAAGCGTCATAAGTTAGAAAGCCACAGG